ACATTTAATCATTCTGTTCGAGGTTGAATAGAAGAAATTAGTGTTGCAATAAATGTGAAGACCTCCTGAAGCGGTTTTAACGATAACATCTTTATCCGAAAGTTTTGATAAAATATCTTTTCTAACTGTTTCTTTAAGTTCATCATTGTAAGATTTATTGATATCAACATCTATAATCGTTAAATTTGAAATTTTGTTTACTAATAAAGCCATACCAGTTTTCCTTCCTCTTCCTCCATCATGTTTGAGGTAGTTATGTAAATCAATCTTATTTTCACCAATTCTTTCGTTGAGGGTTTTAGTTTCTGCCACAACTAATTCCTCAGCTAATTCTTCAACTAATGAATCAATAACTTTTTCATCAGAAACGATAAAGTCGATGTTGTTGTTTGTTGCTGTCATTTATATAGGAATAAAAAAATAAAAATAACTTTAAAACTAACTTTATTTTTGTACTGCATCAAATTTTCGTAAATGTTGTCAAAATGTCATGTTGTCACCATTTTTAAAAGAAGTTAAATGACCTGGTAGCACATGGTAACATGGTAGCACCTACAGTTCTTCAAAAATAATTCATAACTGCCTTCCTCCTGTGTTGTTGTCAAAATGTCAAGACCTTCAGGTCTCGTCACACAGTGACTGTTGTCTCAAACTTTAGAACGGTATAATTTAAATTTTTATTTTTATATAAATGAATACCCCACAAGCTCAAAATTTACCACGAATCATAACAAGGGAGGAAATGATAAAAATGATGCGAGAACATGTTAAAAATAACAAACCACTAAAACTGAGAAAATGTGGTTATGCAGTAATGATGGAAAGAGAGATGTTGTCGAAGAGGAATAAAAATTAAATTTGGATAGAGTTTAAAAATTCATCTTTATTAAATTCATCTCTTCCAATCAATTTATTTATTCTATTAAATTCTTTTATTTTTGCTTCACTCAGTTTAAGGATTGAACGGTAAGTTTCTAATTTTTCGATTATTTCTTTATCGTTTTCAACCCCACCACATTGCGGCTTCTTTTTGTAATAGCATATTTTTGATTTAATTCTGTTTAGTATCTTTTTATATTCATTGTCTGGACTCTTGACTGCTTTGTTGTTACTCATTTCTTACGAAATAAAAAAATTAAATATTATTTAAATATAATGGAGTAATAAAATAAATCGGAATTTCTATTAATTTATTGTTAACCTCAACTAATGCATTGCCGTTAATATATCTAACAAATTCAGCTATTGTGTCAAATCTTCGTCTTCTTTTTGTCATTGATTTATCAGTTTTTCCATAATCGAGATGAATCAAAACTTTATCCCCTTGTTTTAAAATTCATGAGCCCTGAATTAATTTGTTCACGTTTAACATCATTTAACCTTTCCATTTGCTTTCTAATATATTCCCATTCTTTTGAAATATCATTTTTCATTTCCACTGGTTTCATGTTAATAGTTCTATGCCATGTATTATTGTAATAATATACTAACTGCTGTATGATGGAGTCATGATTTCCATCCCAGTATATCTGACCGTTGACCCCTAACGCATCTCTAAGAGTTCTCATTACCGCATCAACTATTTTATTATGAAACGTATATGGAGAGGATGAGAAGTAAAAATTAATTTGTGGGAAATAATGAGTCATGGCTGCCTGAAATCCTTTATCGCCATCACCCCTTATATTATCTACTCTTTCATGATCTAGTAAGTATTGTATAGCTCTTCTTGTTTCCTGTTCTGTTTTCCCTTTCACCGGAATGCAATATAAATATCTAGTGTTAATGTTAATGGCAAATAAATAAGTAATATTTCCTTTTGAATATTCCAGATGATCGATTTCGTATGAATAAGGTGAAGGTGCAAATGATGGACGACTAAATTTTTCTTTTAATGGTTGAATTTTCGGGTCAATTGGTTTATTTAATATCTTGAAATCCTTTTTAAAATCTTTTTGTTTCTTTAATGTTTGAAATGGATATAATAAAGTGAATGATGAAGGATTAACTGAAGGAGGAGGCGGTACTGTCGTTGGAGGTACTGTCGTTGGGGGTTTTGGTGTTGCAAGTGGTTTAATTTTATCTGCTTTGATTTTGGATTTCATTCCCCCCTTCATTAATTCTGGATGTATTCTATTCATTTGTTTTAAATATGCTGTATATAAAGGTTTGATATACTTTCCCGCTTCGAGTTTATGTTGAAGGATGAATTCCAAAAGTTGATCTTCATTTAAAAGTCGGGTTGAATATGTTTTAACTAATGAATCATAAATTAAAGCTTGTGCTTCATTTATGAGCTGCTGAACGTCCAAACTTTTCTCTTTTTGCTTTTGCGGTTCAGGATTATATAAATTATATAATTCATCAATATCTTTTTCAGTTAATACTTTATTTTTGAAATCTTTCAACTGTTTAAGTTGTGATTTACTTTTTCCCTTTGAATATTTTCCTTCTTTAATGTTCTCTCTTAAACGTTTAATTATTTTATCATGATATTTCAAAATTTCGTTTTTATAATACCGATAGTATTCATCCATATCATCACCCGTTATATTTTCATCATGTTTTTGAAGATATGCTTTTAAATCATAATAAGTAAGAAAATTTTGATTAAATACTAAATCATCAATTAAATTTTTAAATCTACGCTATTCATTTATATAAAAATAAAATAAATGTTTAAGGGTGCCCACCTCTTTGTCTCTTCTGTGGTATTTCATTAAATAAATGGCATACAACATCCATTTTCACAACATACAGCTTTAGTGTGTGCCCCTGTTAATGCAGTCTTACCGATTGTTAAGCGAGTCATTGACTCATTTTTAAGTTGTAAATTAATATTTTGACCATTGAAATTGACTTTATCATTTATTATATCCAAATAATTTTTAGGTGTTAATTGTTTATTTTGTCGTAAACTTACACCTTTCATTTTTTGTGCTATCTTTTTGAAGGAGTCTTCACCAATCATTCCGTTGAATGATGTATAACACTTAGGACATAAAGCAACCATGTTATCACCTTGTTTCTCAATTGCTAAACCCAATAATTTTTTCTCATGTGCTTTTTCTTCAGCTTTATTCTTTAATTTAGGTTTAAATTTCTCATCAAAACAGAAGAAATCAAAAGGTGCGAATTTGAAAATGTTTTTATCATAAAATTGTTTATCGGTTACAATTGCTTGAAATGCTTGAGTGTTAGGAAGATTTGGGTCGCCAGCGATTGCCCAATAAGATGAATCAGTATCACCTTCAATGAAATGAAAACGATTAACATCATGCATTTATACATAAAATCATAAATGAAAACTAAATACCAGTATTTAGCATTATCTAAAGTGAAGAATGCCTCTTGTAAACATGTATCACATCTATAAAATCTATCTTTGAGCATCACTTGATATGTATCCTCACCTATTTCTCTTATGTTTTTAAACTTATTTGACATACATGCAACGCGTGCCTTCTGTGCATTCATTATTTTAGTCTTTGCGTAATTTTGTGTATTCATTGCATCGTAACCATATGATCCATTAAGTGAAATTTTGCAAAATAAACTTTTTCCTTTATTTCCTTCTAATTCAGCCTTTTGTCTTTCGTTCATAAATTTGTTCGCAAATTCATTAAAACAAGTATTTTTCGTAAATGTTAAAATTGATTGAATATCATCGATGATAAAATGAAATCTGTCTATTAGATACCAAAGATAATAAGAAGAAAATGGTTGATATTGGTTGTGTGTTGATGCTAACTGAGTTAATTTTCTCTGTTTCTGGTCAACCGGTAGATTGTTTGATTTCATGTAATTATACATAAAACCGCCAATTGTTTTTTCATCTGTGATAATATCTAAGTTTCTTATTATCGGTAAAAAGTTAATGTAATCATTAATATACTTTTCATCAATGTGACCCTTTACTTCAGCAACGAATAAAGTAGATTTCTTTCTAATAATTCCTAAAGCTTTTGCTTTCTTTGTTGCTGTATCACAAATTAAAACATCTTCTAATCTCCCCGGCATATACATTCTATGATCGGTGTATTGAATGAAATCATGAGGATTTGATGAAAATGATGAAGGATATAATGAATTGAAATCAACACCAACGAAATGAGTCATGATGTTGGAAGTGTCCTCATTTGATACTGTTTTAGTTTCTGGATTATATGAAAGTTTATTAATATGGGTGATACCTTTAAGATTAACACGATGTTGAACATTAGAGAGACCACCAGTAATTCCATTACGGAGGATGTGATAAGCTTCAACTGAATCTAAAGTCATTGGTAAATTATTTTTTAATGCATAATTTCTTAAATTAATTCTTAAACGTTGAATGTCTTCATCTTTATTTGATTTTACCACATTGCAATAACAACACATTAACTGACAATTATCTTTAGTATGTGGTTTTTCATTATCTATCCTATCTAATGTTGGTTTATTTGCATATGTAAACGCTTTACCACACATTTTACATTTAGATGAAAGGATTAAATCGTGAAAATATTGATAGTCATCCATTGAAACATTGTTTTTGGTATCTCTTTTCGCCTTTTCATCTTGTTTCTTATATGATTCAATTTTATATTTCCAATACTTTTTCGTTAATTCAAAACTTGATTCCACATTTTCTTCTTCTGGATATGTTTCGTTAGGATTGAAGTTCTTATATGCTAACGCGTAACGAATCATTGATGCATTCGATGATAAAGAAAGATTATGAAGCATGTCAATTTTATAAACAAATGTTTCTTCAATAATTTTATCAATTGGGTCAATCATAATTTCAACGTCTTTATTGCAATAATGAATAAAATATTCTAATCTATTCTCAAAATTTTTAGCATCATTGAGATATATTTGATAATCTGAATCGGATATTGTTTCTTGTGTTAATGCTGAATAAAATGAATCTTGAGTGAATGGTTCCTTTTTATATAATTCTTCTTCGTAATTCTCCCATGTGATGAATTGATATGGGAAGAATGATTTAACACGTGTTTTATTGTTTCCGAAATCTTGAGTAAATTGGTCTAATGTTCCACCCGCTATATAATTTCTGATGTCAATAAATCTCAATTCATATGGACAGTTTGTTTTCTTTACTATGACTTGCTTAAATTGAGAAGAAGAACCCAGCATTGATTTTATCTTCCATTTTGCAGTATTTAAATCACGAAGAATTAAATTTAAATCAAACTTTCCCGAATTAAAACCTATGATATTCACTTTATTAAATTCTTCATCTAAAAGCTCTTTCATTGCTTCCTTCTGTTTCTCATTTAATGTATGGGACAAAGTCCCCGCCGTTTGTGGCTTCATTAATTCTTCATATTGTTCAATATTTGATTTAGCAACTAATGAACAGGTTGAAAATAAAAATTCAATCCAATCAGAGATGAACGAATCACTTGATGTTAAGCAAAAATTCCTCGTAAATGTTTTATCATGGTCTACGACCTCGCCGCTTCGGTCTGAAAGACCTTCAGGACTCAAAGAGTCCGTTTGCGGCTTTATTTTGACAGTTGATGATACCATAAATGGTTTTAAGTAAGCGTTCAAAGTTGCACATTCGGAAAGTTGAAGTTCTTCTTTAGTCTCTAATGTTTCGAAGTCAAAAGTAATATAATATCTTGTTGGTTTATAATATTCCTGCAAATTATGTGCTAATAACCATTGATATATCTTCTGTTTCGTAATATGTGGTGCATATGGTTGCTGGGTCTTTTGCAATTGAACGTCTTGAATTAATCTTCCATTATTTTCTTTACATTTCTCACAATGTTTTAAAAATCTTCTTTGGTTTTTCCTTTCTGGATCATCACGGATAGAATATACTTCTTCTTTGCAAAAGGGGCAAACTTTATATCCTGTGAGTGCTTCAACGTCTGTAATTTTGTCAGCGTGAAGTTTTCCGCATGGACTCTGTGTTAATAAAATATTTACTGTTTCAAATTCTGGATCTATCATTATTGATTCCACTAATGGAAAGTCTACCTTGTTAATGTCTACGTCTTCTGGTTGAGGGTCACAATAATAAAAATCAATATTAACGTTTAACATTCTTGCTAACCTCTCACTTTCTGATGAAATGTCAAATCCTTCATACGCATCTATGGCTTCATTTAAATAACTTCTACGAGTTTTAGGATTAACACCATCAGGAATGCTATAGAAGCGTTTAAATAACCTTCTACCTTCGGCTCTTATTTGATTATCATTCATTTTAGCTGTTCCATTTTTGTTCATTTATGTAAGAATAAAAAATTAAAAAATAAATAAAAATAAAGTTTATTTTTTTAAAGTCCGAGACTCAGAGAGTCCAGGGCTAAAGTCCATAAAATGAATTAAGAACACACAAATTTTTATCATCTGCAACGTGACGAATACATTTTAATTTACTCAAGAATGCGTAACCTGATACATTAAATCTAATTCCTGTCTTATTTAATTTCACAACTTTGAAAAGGAATGTGTGAATAGCTATGAAATGATGACGAGATGATTTATGTGTTGCTTCCATTTTTTCTGAAATGAATGAATAAATATAATGTTTATAGGTTTTCATATCTTTTATGTTCTTAATAACGAATGGAATAGATCTTTCCACTTCGTCCTCCTTCGGAGCTGTTCTTTCATATGAAACATCAACGGTATCTTCAACAATGAAACCACAATCACATAAAATTTTATATGTACCAATTGTTTCTTTTGATATTTTATCTAACAAATCAAAAACTTTATCAACACCTGTACATTTATTTAAATAATAATTTGTGTAAATATCATGGTCTTCTTTCTTAATCGTATTTGTTGCATATGTTACATTTTTCAGTGCTTTTTTGAATTTTTCAGAATCAAGAGGAGGTGAAAGTAATATACATGGATAATCTCCATCGTCAATAAACTGAAGCTTATGTTTATGAATAAATTTTGTGCCTTCTTCTGAAAGTGTTTCGTCAATATCACCATCTAATAAATTTTTAGTAGATTCCAAAAAGTAATTTTTATATCTTTCCTCATGTGATTTTTGAACTTCTGATTCTGAAGCTGGGATATTCATTAAACCCTCTACTTCATTCTCATTATATTTTTCAACTTCTCTTAATTCCTTAATTTTTTCATCTATTTCATCTCTTATTTTTTTCAGTCTTTCAATTTCAATTTCATCATATTCATCATCATCTTTAATTCGTTCTTCATAATATTCAGGGAAAACATTAGGTTCTTTAGGTTTTTCTTCTTTAGATGTGGGATATAAGAAATTTATAACATCATCTTTATTCATTTTTCCATCATAATCAAATTCATTTAAAAACTCCGCGAATTTTTGACAATTTCTTAAATAATATTTACTAACTTCATAACCCGCCTCCACTAATATATCCTTTATTTCCTCGTTTGTGAATCCTAATGTTTTCACGTCGTTAGTTTTGACACTCATTTCATACGAATTAAAAAAATAAATTATTCAAAAATGTAAGACATGAATGTTTAAAGTTTATTTTTTTTATTTCATTATGGTAGTGAATCTTTCATTCATGAAAATAATTATATCTAATTTCTTTTACTCTCTCGTATATACTAGATTTAAAGAATTCAGATTTTTCCCCATAATCTCCTAAATGTTTTCTAATCTTATCGGTTTTCCATTCATAATATGAAACTGTATAACATTTATTCCTAAATTCATATTTTATTATAGATTTAGTATTTTCAAACTCTTCAATATTTAAAACTTTACATCCTTCTTTATTAAATATATGTTTCACATATTCAGGATTTATCATTCTGTAATATTGTTTTCCTTTAAATCTTTGAATGTAAACAGGAACACCATCCTCTAAAATTCTATTATCCACTTTATCAGGTTTTACTTGTTGGGTCATTTATGTAAGAATAAAAAAATAAATTATTTTAAAATTAATGTTATTTTTTAATGTGTTTAGTATATGAAAAATTTAATGTATCGTCTATATATAGATGCAGCAAAAAAAGTCACAAACCCCGCATGATTCTACTACTATGACCACAGTAACGTTCATGTTGATAGAATGAATTATACGCTAAAGGTTTTGAATAAATAATAGGAGTCAATAGATATTGACTGAGGTAAAAAATTGAAATTTTCATCAATCGAGATACAAATCCCGATAGTTTTTTTTAAAGAAATAACGAATTACATACCAAAATAAATGCACTCTAACCTCATATTTCATTTGATTGATTCATATTAATATCAGAAATAAAATATCATCGAGAAGATGCATTTATAGCCTGTGATAGTATTTAACAAATGCAATAAAATCTAAAAAGTAAAGAGATAAGAAGCTAAAATGGTTATTAATAGGAATGGAAAGATTTCGTTGTCAATCCGTTATGTTACTTCGTTTTGGAATTAATAATCGAATCTGTGAGGTAAGTGTGATAAGTTACAACAACGAACATGATTACAGGTCTCTTATCGATATGATGAAATTCTTAAAAACTCAATTAGAATGTATTCAAATATCTATATATTCCAGTAGTATTAAATATTTAATTAATGAAAATATTAAAAAGAGAAAATGTTGAAATATGATTTCAGGACTTTAGAGTAAAATGAGATGAGATATGTTATATACTTATAATTTAGTAAATGATTTTTGGAATTATAAAAATGTAATCAAGAACTAGACGATGTAAATTCCGATTTTTTCATGAAAAAAGTTTAACTTTTTGAGAGAAGAACTCATTTTAACTCGAAAACCAACGTAATTGACTGAATATATAAATATCTTTAAATGTAAAAATGAATGGAAGACTAGGATTTGAGAAGGCTTTCTAGAGAATTCTCAAAAAATTGTATTGATTTTTGCCGATAGGAAAACCTCTTTTTTGAATACTTTATTCAAATTTTAACTGACCATAGTTATGGCTATTATATAATATATCAATTGTCAGGCAAAATAAAATTGAAAGTTTGGATTGAAAAAATTGATAATTTATACATGAATTTTTGGATTTCAATCAGTTTTATAATATCTCTTCTTATTTTACTATTAAAATTGACCTTCAATTTTGATATTGATTTTTAAAAAATTGCACACATATATTGGATCTATTAATTTAATTATATGTCTATAAAATTCATTTTCAAAAGATTATTCAAAAGTATTTTGTGAACATGCATTGCTCAATATTCAATTAAAATTTGAATTAAATCAAATTTTGATAGTTTTTATTTGCAAAAAATATTGCTTTCTCAGATCAAATATATGAATAATACATTTTGTTAACAATAAACGATATCCTTTTAAAAAATGGCTCAGAAAAGTTAAAGTTGAATGTAAAAACTATATTTGATCCTATACTTTATTTTTAACTTCATATCTATTAATAAATCGGGTTTCTTTTTAAAATTTCAATGAGTAATTAATATAACCGTCAGCTTACCACTTTTTGAATACTTTACAACTCATCAATTCCAAAAAATCAAATATATCTCCACCTATTTAATGAGTTCTATAGAATCACAAAATTTTGTTTCGATAATTCAATTTTTATTTATTTATTATTTTTTATGATTGACAGGAGAATGTCATTAACACCACTTCTACCAACTTCTACCTTCGAACAAAAGAAGAAGCCAGCAAAGCAGAGTCAAAAGGACTATGATGATGTACAAAAACGCATTGTCAGAACAGGAGTTCAAATGGGCCACGTGTCTAGGTACATAGAAAAAATTTTTGGTTGCTATGTAACATCATCTTTCTTAATAAATATAGCTGCAATAGTTTCCACTAAAAATAATATTAAAATAGATAAATTAGCGAGGAGAAACAGATCTGCACTCCTCTGTTGGTTTGCTGAAAATTGGACTCATGTGTATCCTGTAATACACGAGCTCATGCAAAAATTCATATATTCTGGAATGGATGTTAATAAGAAGAATTATCCTCAAGAGATGATACAAGAGCCTCAGAATAACGAGAACGAAATTCTCGATCCTTCTGACTTATCACAGCTTATCAATCACCATGAATAGTTGAGAAACGCGGCTTTATTGTTTTGTTTTATTAGATTATATTACTATTATTTATTTATGAAAGTTATTTAATTTAATATTTGAAGAAAATAATGTTGCCATTGAAATAACTTTAATTAATAAAAATTTTGTTCACCATTTATTTGACATCAAATCTTTTTCAAAATTCACTTCAAAACAATAGATATCTCCTAACTCATCGTAGGTCTGCTTTATTTGCATATAAATTTGCAAAAGAACCTATAGATCTTGATATTCATTAATCTTCTTCTTATTTTCAATTCATTAAGATTGTTTCGTTTTAACTTCTGGTTTTATTTTTCTTGTAGAGATTATGTTGCAATTTTTGAATCATTTTATCACATAAACGAAAGTTTCAGAGGTACAGAATCTAAACAATTGGATTTTCATGAAAATATTAAAAATAATATTGGTAATGGAACAAAATCGCATCTAATGGAAATAAAAAAATAAGATAAAATTATTCTATCCGATGACTTCGATTGAAATTGTGATACTTTTCAATCCTTTCAATTTTTTAAGCCTCTTTCATTTTTGTTTGCCTATTCAATAAATTGATATAACACAAAAGATATTCTGATTTTTATTGTATGAAGTTTCATAATTTATATATTTTCCTTTAATTTATCCAATTATTTTTTGAGCTCAATTAATCAATTCAAAAAGAATTCTGAAAATTATATGGTCGAATTCAAATCTTAAAAAATCTTATCATATGATATATGCCTATTATAAAAAATTCAATCATTCAAATTTCAATGTGTTTTTAATTCTCGATATATAAATTCTTATTTTATATGGTATTCTTTATAATTTGACACACAAACGCTTATTGACCTAACATATTGTCTTTGTAAATTTATTCCATTCTAATAAACCTTTATTTATCAGCTGTAAATGTTTTCAAATTCAAAACGAGTTTTCTTTATTTATATCAAGCGGTATGATAACTGTATCCTCTTCCTGATGATATACAACATTTCTTTTGTAATTCTTCTTTCACTCTTCTATTGTTCAACGTTGAAAAATCCCATTTGAATGGCGAACTGTTTCTTCAAAACCGCACTTTAACATAATGACAAACATTTTAACTTTTTCATATATAATTTTATCATTCGGATAGTCTTATAATCAATTTCTCAATTCATTTCTCTTTCTTATGGGTATTTCTTTCTAAAACATCTTAATAATTGCTAAACATTGCATATATTGCATGAAAATCTATTCGTTCCTCTTATATTAATCATTTTGTTCCGCTTATAATTTATGATTCAATTCCTATAGACTAATATTTCAAATGTTAGCTATTTTAAATATTTTCATACTCTCCATAAACTGAAACTTCGTGTGGTCAATTTCTGATTTTCCATTTCTCCACTACCTGATAGAAAAATGAGTGAAAAAAAAATCTGACAAAAGTAAAAAAAAAATTCAAGAAAGCATAATTATTATATTTAATTCTTCCAAAATCAAACATTCAAATCCGAAAGTTACAACCACTATCGCTATCGTCATTTGATGTTCTTCCTCATATTATCATTAGTTGGGGCTCACGCAATCTGCGATTGGTGCAAGCATTATGGTGAGGGTTCACTTAGTTTAGCTCGCAGCGGCGCTTCAAGAGAAACAATCAAACAGATGGCTTTAAGTAAATGCGATAGCCTCCCAGATAGTATCCGCTCATTCTCCAAGCTTTGCAAGATGTACGTTAATAAGAAACTCGATTCTTTAATACAAGATGCTAGGGAACATCCAAATTGTGATGCTCTTTGTTATTGCCAAAAGAAGCATTATTGTTAATCAGCTAGGATTTTTTTCAGCAAATTACTAAATGTCATTTTACTCGTATTACTTCTCATTACTTTTTCAAAATTGAAAATGTTTCTGATTTTTTTTTTAAGTAACTTAATTAATACTATTGATTCAATGAATTTTTCAAGAAAAACACAATATTCGGCTTGTTATTGCCCAACCAATATAATAATATAAGACACCTAATTTTATTTGAAAATATAGATTGTGAAACTATGATTAATAGTCCATACATATTATGAATTTTACATCCTAGATAATTATGCAAAGGAATAGAGATGATATATATTTAATAAAAATAATAATTAAGAAAAAGAAATTAATTTATAGATATTAAAAAAACTGGGAACTTCTGTATTGAATAGTAATTAAATTTATCTGAGGGCATGAGTGCAGTCTTTTCTTGTATCATCTTTGCCTGACATAATGCAAGCAACAATGAAACCGTAAAGACCAAGAACTTCTCCGAAAATGAGGACAAGCATAGCACCCATAAGAAGTTGTGGCTTTTCACCTAAAACACGGCAAGCAGCATCACCAGCAACACCAATGCAGCAGCCAGAAGCGATACCGCAAAGGCCGACAGAAAGTCCACATGAGAGAATAGCATATGCATTGAATTGATGGAAAGATCGATCGCTTGTTTCTATAACTCTTGTGTTCATAATAACAGCCGCGACTAACCCGTAAATACCGACAATACCAGCCATAATAACTGGCATAAGTCCTTTGTAAATAAATTCTGGATGAATAGAGCATGCAGCGAAAACACCAATAGCAGACTTAGCAGTTCCGTAGCCTGAACCAATTGCTGTGGCTCCAAGAGCTATAGCAATGCCAAGAAAGCCAATAAAGCCGGCCCATACAGGACAAAGGTCTTCAGTCAATGCCATTATTAAATTTGTTTTGTAAAGTTTTGAATTCTTATGCCGATCGAACGGCGGTTTGATAATTTTTTGTTTCGTTCATGCCGATTAAACTATCAATTTCAATGTTTATGATAAAAATGAGGCTCATGCATGGTATAATACTCATTGGAATTCAAAAACGGTGATTTGAAATTTTGGAATCATGAAGATTTTTCTAATTTTGCATTACCTGTGTATAATAGATACTCAATTGTGAAGAACCTTTATACTGAATCGAACAATTTTATCTATTTTTTGATTTTTCATATCCGATGATTACAAATTTTCCAAAGAACATATTAAGGAGAAACATTAAATCAGTCTATTTTCCTGAATTTTAATATTTAGTGTTGTAAACAGAAATTCATCAAAAGTGACAGCTCTCAATTTTTTGACATTTGTAAATTCTAAATTGAATGAGAAAAATGAAATAATACTAAGCATAATACAATATTCTAGATTTAATTATAATTAGGAAAAAGTTAGTTTTGAGAGTACTTTTCATAGGCATATAGAATGAAATCTTCTGAAAAATAATATCACATAAACTCATATTATTTTCTAATATATAACTATTTTATATAAAAATCAAATTCAATGATCTTAAAAGCGAAGGATAAACCTCAAAATTTACGAATATAATGAGTGGGAATATAATGCTTATCTATCATAAAACCATATGAAATATCAATTTTTGCTTTACGCCTAATTTTTGACGACAATTAGCAAGAAGAATTGCATGATAAATAAAACATTTAATCAAAGTCAATTTTATTTTTCATATTCAAATGGACTGAGTGTTAACATTTAACATTTTTTGCTAATTGTCGTCAAAAATTAGGCGTAAAGCAAAAATTGATATTTCATATGGTTTTATGATAGATAAGCATTATATTCCCACTCATTATATTCGTAAATTTTGAGGTTTATCCTTCGCTTTTAAGATCATTGAATTTGATTTTTATATAAAATAGTTATATATTAGAAAATAATATGAGTTTATGTGATATTATTTTTCAGAAGATTTTGTGTTCTTCTTCAAAATTTTATTTTTTTATTAAAAAGAATCTTTACAAAATATACATTGACTTTAATTAATATTTAAAAACGTGCTCTATCAAAAGTTCCAAAAATTCAATATTTTAGCTTTTCTGAGGTGTCACTTTTGATGAATTTCTGTTTACAACATTAGATCCTCGTAATCAAGTGTTGAATAGTGCTTTGAATTGATACTATAGTATTTAGCACAAAAGGGGACAATTTTAACATCTTTTTTTGAACTTTATCTATCAATTCATCAGCCAAAGTTAAGAGAACTGATTCTGATAGTTTTCAAGGATAGAGAAAAAATTATGAATTTCGAAAAGAAAAAACAACAAAATATTTATTTAATATCTTCTGCTTGATGAACTCCTGTGCTTATCATCATGATGATGATCGCTGCTATGGTGATGATGATGGTGATGTGATGAATCTCCAGATTCGCTTGAATATTCATGAGATGAGCTATGATGGTGATGATGTCTTCTTGAAGTATCTTCTAAATCATCTTCTGATATTTGCTTTCCTAAAAACCTCTTTGAAATAGTTGCTAATTTCGGAAGTTTTTCGTTTTCTTTTTGTGCACTCCTTTCTTTCTGCCTTTCCCGCTCCTTTTCTTTCTGACGCTCTCTTTCTCTCTCCTTTTCACGCTCACGTTCTCTTTCACGTTCCCTTTCTCTGTCACTTTTTTCAACTGATGTTGATCTTCTACTTGAGAAAGATTCAACGAGAGATGGGCGAAAAGAGGACTCAGAACCATCCATTGTGTAAATCCTTGATACCCTCTCGAGTGGATCTTTTCTTCCGCGTTTGACAATCGATCCATCTTTGTATCTTCTTGTTGGTTTATATGAATTATCAACAGATTTCTTTCTTGCAATCGGTCCTCTCCTGAAAATAGATTCGCTATCGAGAGTGGAAGGCGTGCCATCAATCAATCCTTGCAATTCATCAATGGATGATGGTTCAATGTCAGAAGATTCCGAAGGATCAATTGTATTTGCTTTCTTAATCTTTGTTTCTTTGATTTTCATGAAAGGAGGCTTTGGAAGAGCAGCTGGAGATCCTCCAGGAATGCCAATATTGCCAATATCTCTCGTTCTTGCTGGAGGAGGGCCAAATAGGGATTTTGGATTCTCTTTTTTAACTTGAACCGGCTGATCTTCGTCTGGGATATCAAGAGGTTCAAGTTCTAGTTCTCCAACGCTCCTCAAATTTGTTAATCTACTTGGAATATTTGATGATTTAGAAGCAGATGGAGCTTTTGGAGTTTCAAGTAGTCTTGAAGGTATGTCTGTTATTGGTTGATATTTTGGAGTAGGTTGCTGTAAAGTGTTTTGAGCTTTAGGTGTGGTTGGTATTTGAACTTTCTGTGGCGATGTAAATGATGATGTAGTTCCTGGTACTTTAAGATTTTGAATGTCTGCAAAAGCAGATTGGAGCGTGTTATTGACTCTAGTTGGTTTTGGAGATTGTTCTACTTGTTTTTTAGCTTTTGATAATTCAATCATATCATCAAAGAAGTCATCAAGTTGTACACCATGGACAAATCCTGTTTTTGTTGGAATTTGATTGTATTCAGTTTCTATTGCTTTTAATGTTTGAGTTAAGTTGTAACGCTTCAAAAATGCAATAACAGCTTTCATCGAATTTTCCCATGATGTTGTGTTTTGGATATATATTTGGTCTTTTAAGATTGAATTTTTGACATTTTTTGAATCTCTAACAGCTTCAGCAAGATATTTGTAATACGATGCATGCAAAAAGTTAGTTCCGCCTTTTTGCTCTATATCATAATTAGTTTTTCGATTAACATAGTCTCCTGCATCCATTTCACTTTTGAAATAACGCCTTTTCAATCAAATATATCGGCGCGAAGCACCAAATATATTCAGGGAGCAATTTTTGGAATTTCGAGGCCAATTTTCTCTTGATAAATATTTATCTGCATAAGCATGGCCATATCATACTCATATTGTTGTAAACAGAAATTCATCAAAAGTGACACCTCAGAAAAGCTAAAATATTGAATTTTTGGAACTTTTGATAGAGCACGTTTTTAAATATTAATTAAAGTAAATGTATATTTTGTAAAGATTCTTTTTAATAAAAAATAAAATTTTGAAGAAGAACACAAAATCTTCTGAAAAATAATATCACATAAACTCATATTATTTTCTAATATATAACTATTTTATATAAAAATCAAATTCAATGATCTTAAAAGCGAAGGATAAACCTCAAAATTTACGAATATAATGAGTGGGAATATAATGCTTATCTATCATAAAACCATATGAAATATCAATTTTTGCTTTACGCCTAATTTTTGACGACAATTAGCAAAAAATGTTAAATGTTAACACTCAGTCCATTTGAATATGAAAAATAAAATTGACTTTGATTAAATGTTTTTATTTATCATGCAATTCTTCTTGCGACCAAAGATTTGAATAAAACTTCAAAAAATAAGATAGCTTAAAAAATAATATACGGTAGTGTTTACTAATAGATGAATAGTATATAAATTCTATTAAAATGGATTTGATCCAAAAAAATATATAAAATTTGATCATAAATAAAATTGTTTTAAATTACTTCTTCATTTAAATTATAACAATTATTTTGGTTTTATATTTTTTTGGATCAAATCCATTTTAATAGAATTTATATACTATTCATCTAGTAAACACTACCGTATATTATTTTTTAAGCTATCTTATTTTTTGAAGTTTTATTCAAATCTTTGGTCGCAAGAAGAATTGCATGATAAATAAAAACATTTAATCAAAGTCAATTTTATTTTTCATATTCAAATGGACTGAGTGTTAACATTTAACATTTTTTGCTAATTGTCGTCAAAAATTAGGCGTAAAGCAAAAATTGATATTTCATATGGTTTTATGATAGATAAGCATTATATTCCCACTCATTATATTCGTAAATTTTGAGGTTTATCCTTCGCTTTTAAGATCATTGAATTTGATTTTTATATAAAATAGTTATATATTAGAAAATAATATGAGTTTATGTGATATTATTTTTCAGAAGATTTCATTCTATATGCCTATGAAAAGTACTCTCAAAACTAACTTTTTCCTAATTATAATTAAATCTAGAATATTGTATTATGCTTAGTATTATTTCATTTTTCTTATTCAATTTAGAATTTACAAATGTCAAAAAATTGAGAGCTGTCACTTTTGATGAATTTCTGTTTATTACAATATCATTTTCTATCTATTTGCCGTTTCAGATAACCTTTGAGTTTTCTCCCAAGGCCAATTCGGACAATCTTATCATATTTACTCAGAGAGAACCCCCTTATTTGTCGGCCGAAACCTTAAGAACGAATAATACCCACAGAACCTTCCGTTTGATCATCTAGAGCTGGGAACCATTGACAGGAGAAGAGTTAGTTAAGTTCATGGAGAAGCAAAATGCTCTTCAAGAGAAGGCAAACGAAATTGAAGGAGTAACAATAAATTATTTCCGAAATCTTTGTAGTCATAGTTTGCCAGATGTATAACATTACATTTTTTTCTAATGAATTTAAAGGATATCCTGTATGGTAAAATACAATTTTATAACTTTTACAATTTTTTAATGTCTGATCAAGACACTCACCCAAATAATTTCAGTGAATTGCGAAGTATCTTCAAAACCTACATCGATTCATACAATGCAATTTATCAGCTCAAAACCCAAAATGAAGAAGAATTAAATAAAATTTACAAAATGATCAAAACAGAATTGATTGATTCAAAGAAATATCTACCTAAATATGTTATAAAAGACATTTTAAATATTGTTACATATAATAATCGCTATACAAAGTCATATTTATCTCTTGCCAAACTCATATCTGATGAATATCATGTCAAAGAGGTCAATAATATCAAAATTATTTCAAACTTCCTATTTTTCAAAGAATATGGAATTAAATTAGACAAGTTTACTGAATTCGGAAAATTTTATATTAAAAATTTCAATATTCATACAGAAAATACAATTTACAGAGCAATTATGTATAATAACCTAGAAAAATTCATCTCATTCACCGAAAGAGAAGGATTTAATGAAGATCAAGCACTTGAAAACGAATTATATCCATATGAATTTATGGTTGGAAGATATTCATTACTTGAATTATGTTGTTACCATGGATCAGTTGATTGTTTCAAGTTTTTAAGAACGAAATTTAACTCAAAAATGCCTAGAATTTTCCTTTTTAGGAGGAAATCAAGAGATCATGAGTGAATGTTTGAAATATCAAAAACCATATCAATCTTGCATGAGATATGCAATTATTTCACACAACATTGATTTTGTTACATTCTTGATGAATGAATACAATATAAAGATCGATTTATTTTCTTGTGGATTGTATAATAATCTTGAATCGTTTTTAGTTTATTTCGATCAAACCAGTGATATTAACAAATGTTTCGTTTATTCACCGATATTTAATATTGCATCCCTTACCGAATACTTCATTTCACATGGTGCGAATATCAATGAAAAAGATGGAAATGGAAACACAGCACTTCGTATTGCAGCATGTAATAATAGTAAAGAAACAGCTGAAATTCTTATTTCACATGGTGCGAATATCAATGAAAAATATAGAAATGGAGAAACCGCACTTCATATTGCAGCAACATATAATTATGAAGAAATGGCCGAACTTCTTATTTCGCATGGCGCAAATATCAATGAAAAAGATAAATATGGAAAAACCGCGCTTGATCTTGCCAAAGCACAGAAATATAAAGAAACGACTGAAGTTCTTATTTCGCATGGGATACTATTTTTCCCCTTTTTCTGATATTGAATTTAAATTTCAAGTTAAATTTCTAAAGTTATTTCGATTATTTTTTAAAAATAGTAAGGGAGCGCGGGAGATGATAAGTCGCCCTCAGAAAAGCACTTTTAAGGTTAATACATTGGATGCTTCTAAACTTTCCATTTCACACATTGCAATATGATTAAGGTTAATTTTGTGTAGTTTACCTATCCTCGCCTGGGCATCCTTAAAATATAATGTTAAAAATCAAATTTGATATAATATAATTTCGAGCCTCAGTTGGCTGGGCCTGCCCGAATGGCAAGCCCAGACAACTTCGGGAAATATATATATTATAATTATAGGAAATGAATTTATACGAATAAATTTGAATTTGAGTGATTAACATTATATTTCAAAGATTATTATGTAAAACATAAGAGATATTTTTAGCTAAATTGAAGTGGTTTCGAGAATACTTTGAGATTTTAGAGATTTTTGGAAAGAAATATTGAAAGCAAAGCATTTGTTAAGAATTTGTTGTGAAATGAAAAGAATAGATTTGATCAAAACCTTAAAAAATGGATATTTCATAGAGGCCTGCTGATCACGATTTCTCATAACTTGTTGAGCAGATGTTCACTTTTCATTGAAATAATAATCTAATCTAAGAGTCTATATCTTCATCATCTAGAAATCTTTTTGATGTTCACCAGCTTAGTTTTTTGAATACTACTTTTGAAAATTTGGGAATAAGATGAAAACATGCTATTGATTATATGTTTCATAATATTGGTCGACAAATCTTTGTTTTTAATTTATTTCTAGAGCAAGGGTTAAAAATTGAATAGTTGTAAACTAAGGAACATCTTAATTTTCGATTCAAAATCTTCAGCCTTACGACTTTGTTGAGTGATTAATCGTCGATTCGATCTATATGCATAGCAATGATCCTTTAAGAATCTCTATAAATTTTACGACTGTATAAGATTTTGAAAATATTGATCGAGGAAGTCGTCAAAATTAATCAATGTTTTACCTTGATTTCGCCACACCAATGACCATCAAGAACAAACAATCCAATAACACAAGAAATAATCATGATTCCAATCATTTTAATGCACAAAATAAGTCAAAGAAGGACAAAAACGAATATCAAAGAATCCCAGAGACAAAACAGAGTAAATTTAATCCATTTACATAACTTCAAGGAGTATTCAGATCTCCTTTTGCAATCATTGTTATATTCTTTGTTTAATAAAATTTGCTTATACGGTATTTAATATATTTATTTGAAAATACTATCTCATACCCATTTACCATGACCAAAAATATTAAAATAAAACGGTAAATTGATGTTTCTTATGCGTATAATTCAATAAAAATTATAATTTGAATTTTAACTCTTTGTTAATATAGTATTTAAATTAGTAAATCTTATGTAATATTTATGCATACCTTTCATCTTTAAATGAGGCTTCAGTATCAATTTTAAATAAAGATTGGCTTACTTTAAGAGATGATTAGGAAGATAAGAGAACCATATCCCAGATGATTAACTGAGATAGTTATCACATTATTAAGAGGATTTTTTTTTGGAAAAAGAGCAAAAGCAAACAATTGAACGTTAGACAATTTCGTTAGGCCATTAATATCAATTTCATGCATGATTTAAAGCTAAAATGATTTTGGTATTTTTCCAAAAAAAAATTGCCAAGCAAATCTTTACAAGTAGTTAGTCATAGCTTTCATATATATCTTTAGAAAATTTGATAATATTCAATACTGGGAAAAATTCTGACTAATTGGAATTTACTCGAGGAAAAAAAAATTCAACATTATTAAAAATGCAGTCAAACAAAAAAGTAATTGTCGAAAAAACCAATGAAAATGATGAGCCAAATACCCTGGAAACTTTAATTAAGATAGAAATTCATCCCGTTGAGTCTAAATTTGTTGAATTTTTCGCAACCAAATCATTTGTTGATTGTATTCTCGAACTTTCAAGTGAACAGATTCATTGCCATCGACTAATTCTAGCAAAGTATTCTAATGTTTTCCGTTCCTATTTCATAAAACATGATACAACTGATAACAAGTTGTTACCTCCTCCTTATGTTATCAGTGATAAAGCCTTATCTCAAATTATTGACTTTTGCTACAAGTCAACAATTTCTGTAGATTCTTCAAACATTGTTGACGTTTTTATTACCTCCGCAATGTACGGAATCAAAGTATTGACAGCTTTACTCTCAGAGAGTTTGTTAAATATCCTTGATAACGGCAATATCTTAGATTACCTTCCAAAGTTCAAAATCCAATTAACAGATGAAGCAATTCAAAACTTCCCAGAATTACTTGATAACTATAGAGATTTACGTGATAATATCGGTGGCATCTGTGATATTATTTCCAAGAATTTCGCATTTATTTCTCGATCAAAATTCATTGATAACACGCCATTATACATGCTTCCAGACATCTTAAAGAAAATAGATTACAAAGATCTATATGATACAGCCGTTTTCGAATCCAAAGACGATTTCGTTCTTTATACAATTGATAAGATAGTTGGAGACAGCGAAATCTCAACACTTGATAAAGAATGCTTATCTAAGGCAATTGAGTGGGATCAAGAAAATTCTTACTTGTATTTGACAAAATATAGATTGAATTGGGTTCTTCCATCGATTTTGCGTCCAATTCTTGCAAAAGTCTTCAAATCACGCCAGAAGACAATCCAAAAAGTCGACAAAATCGTCGGAAAGTTGAAGTCAAAAATACATTCCAATTTCGGAGTATTAGATCTCCTTCAGATCATATATGCAAGCAAAGGAGAAACAAAAGTTGAATCCAAAAACGTCCTTTCTGTCCTCAGTACTATGTGGGGAACGACTTCAATAACAAATCCAGCTCTTTCAGGATTTGTACAGCTTACTGCCGATACAGACGGACCGCTTTCGTCTTTCTACGATCCACGTAACGTGTTCGTTCAGGATGACTACAGTTATTTGACAAATTCTACTTGCGATTATCAAAATCCCGAATTCACTCACTACCAACAAAAGCTTACATTGGGATTTGTATTTGATAAAACTGTTGGAAACAAAGTCATCCCATCAAACCTCAAAATCGATGAAATTAAATATCATTTACCAGAATCAGTTAAAAAAGAAACAAGCAAAATTACAATCATGTACGATACCAATAATCCAGGTACAGGCATCAAGCTCGTATGCAAACCTTCAAAGGATCAGGCCACTTACAATATCTTCTCCATGCATGTAAAATATGTAGAGATTATAGGAAAATTTGAACTGGAATAAAAGTTTATTTTTATACATCATTATTTACTTAAAGAGATTAACTATTTTTAACTCAAAATTAACTTGTTTTTCTGACCTTTTCAGAGAATTGAGCCTGAGATGTGTGAAAGTCTGTCATAGCTTTCAATGACTAGCTCAGTTTTAACGAAACCGCAAATTCGAACATTGAAAAGTCTAGAGATTCTTCTTTTTTTTTGTCAACCAATTTTGTGATTTCACATGAGATAATGATAACTAGAGACTATCTTCATATAAATAACATAATTCTTAGGAGCTAATCCTATCGAAATCAACGATATCACAGATTTCCTTTTGTGAATCTTCATTTTATCAGTAAATTATTAATCATTCAAAAATCTATACTAAGCTTTCTGATCATTTAGCTTAATATTTCACAGTCATTATTTGACAAAAACCTTCAAAAATTTTGATGAATTACAACTTTTTGTGAGCCATCTTCGAATAAGAAATCATTTTAACTCAGTATTAAGTATATATTATAAATATTAGATTTTCATAACAACGTCTTGATTGAATAATTGTAAATTCAGAAAAAAATTTTTGGAATAAATGGGTATAAAGTACGATTGGCGTAACTTAGAACTCGTAAGTTACACCAGTATGACTAATATATTAACATTTATTCAGTTCGCTCTCGTCCCGCTTTCAAAAACAAACGTTAGAGGCAATTCTTCCAATTTTTCAGTTATCAATTTCCTTAAAGTCAACAAAATCCTTTTGAGACCAATCGAATTAATTGAAGAATTCAACGCTATCAATCCTCCAATGAGATGCTTGCTCAGTGCCGTTATTATTATAGCATTTATTAATTTAATGACTTACTCTTTCTTCTTCCCAACATATAGACTTTTAATTTATGCTGCCGATCTTTTCTTACCTGGCATGTTGTTACTCGGCATTTGTTGGAAGAGCAAAGATTATGAACCAGTTTCTGCCAAAGTTAATGCTCCGTTCATTATTCTTGGCTTGATTTGGATCCTTGTCAGAATTGCGTTTTCCCTATGGCCCCTTATAAAGAACAGACATCTCTTCAATTGGAAGAATCGCACAACTCGTCTTCTTACAGCCATTTTCCTTGAACGTATCAAGATGTCATGCAAGAAGAACATCGATGAAGATTTCGTAAAGCAACTCGATGAAGATTACGAGCGGTGCAAGAAGCTCATTCAAGATCGTGAGCCAGCAATTAACTGGCAGCGCTATCCAAAGTGGCGCAAGATCCTCGACATCGCAATGGCTGGCGTTCTTATGCTGATTATGATTATTTTGTCAGTTTCTTGGGGATCGATCATTAAGAAGTCATACCAAGGTATTAACTATGAAAGTATTGTTATTTGCTGCAAGGTTGTCACAGCCGTCTTTGCAGTTTTCTTCGGCATCCGCTTATTACTTGCTATTTTATATTTCTTCGATAAAACAGCACCAAAGTTAGTTGAACTCCGCCGTTTAGCCTTCAAGGGTATCATCATTCTTACAACACTCGTTATCATTCCTGTTTGTAACCTTCTTCTTCGTGCTACAGATCTTGAAGATGTTTTCTGCGAATACAACCAGTACTACTACTACAACCAGTCCGGAGAAAACTTCATCGAGTATTTCATGGAGCACATAGGCTCTGGCTGCCAAGTTTGCAACTGGAAATCCTCATATTGGACTCCATGTATGACCGCCTGCAGATTCAACGCAACCCTTGCTCAGAAGGCAGGCAGAGAAGCACGTTATCTCTCTGAATTCGATGTTGCAAACTCTTATACGATTCCTATGGTTCTTATTCAGGTCTTCTTCCTTTTCATTCTTATTCAGATCGAATTCTACATCTTCAAGCAGCACAGAACAATCATCGAGTTCCTTCCAGCTCCAACTACAGACCTTGATGCTAAATTTACTTCAGTTGTTAAGAATCTCCATACAAGTGGTGGCTACGTGTTCGAGTCTTACACCCACAAGCACTCAATGTTCAACTTCGACTTCACCCAGTTCAAGGCTTTCGTTCTATTCGCCACATCCGTGTTCCCAATCTTCCCATCCGCTTCTGTTTCATCCCAAGCACCTTTCATCATCACAGTTATTTTCACCGCTGTCTGCGCCCTCATTTGCATTTACAACCTCGTCCAAAATCCATACAAATCCAGATTACACAACGTTGTCAACACTGTTGACTATTTAGTTAGCACCATCACATCCCTCATCGCCTGCATTGCTACAAAGTTAACAATTAACCCAGTTATCGGAACAGTCGCTTACTTTGCCGTTTTCATTGTTCCGTTCGTTGTTACCTTTGTCAGTCCATTCTTCATCAAGTTCGATCCTTCAATGCGTCCAGTTAAATACGCTCTTAAGGATATCATGAGAAAACAGAAGAAGTTCAGACTTGAAAAGAACAGAAAGAAGAAGAAGAAAGGCGAGCAAGACTTTGATCTCGAGGATTCCGAATCATCTTCAGGCAAAGAAGATCCAGATTTTACTGTTGGAGATTTCGACTCGATCGCTATCTGCCCAACGTATATCCAGATCGGCAGAGCATCACGCGCCAAGAATTACGAGCCAAAAGTCAGAAAAGTTTGGACAAAATTCGATCTCAAGCAGGGCGACCTCGACCAAGCCACAAAGGACATTTTCGATCTCATCGATGAAATGCTTGACTCATCTTCCTTCATCGCTATCGATAATCTCCTCGGTTTCGCCACAATTTATTCTTCAATTTGCCTCGGATGGGGAGTTGGCAACAGTATCGCATTGTGGAAGACTGACGAGATCTTGTATAATAGTATCAACCCTTACTGCGGAGAAGACTTCGATTTCATTACAGCAAACAAAACAGTTCCTAACTCAGGAAACTACTCCTATAAGGTTAACCCAGATACACTTGAATACCCATCAACAGACTTTATATAAATGATTATTTTTTATCGACGTTAAAAAAATATAATTTTTTTTTCTCCTTCTTTTTCTTTTTTTCAATTAGATTATCATAGGTCATTTTGTAGATATTACTTTAAGTTTTTCATAAGGGTTTCGTTTTGCTAAAATTGTCACTTTTATAGCATATTTGTTTTTGGATGTTTTGCGAAACCAAAAAAAACTATGATATACAATGTGTGTGTAAAGAAAATACTTTATTTACTAGTTAAAAAATCATTTGGTATTGATCAAGTTATTTTTTCTGGATAAGATATTATATGGATAATTGGATAGAAAATACAATTATATAATCTTGTACCTGGTTTAATTAAGCTAATTGTCATCAGAAACTTGTAATTTTTATGAATTTCAGATTTTCTTTTCATTACTGCTTTTCTTAATAGGTCAAGTTCTTATTTACGTTATAAAGTATGATATTTACAAATATCAAGTTATCGTGTTTTTTGAGAAATTATGAGAAACAAACAAAAATGAAAAAGATAGGAATAGCAATGAATAGTGATGTGGGTATAGAAAATGTAAGAGATATGAATGCAAAGCAATCAGTATTTAGGACATTGACCATAGATTTCGAAAAAAAAATGCTGCGTATTGAGCGAAAACTATGATTATATTATAAGGCTGTCATTTAAAGCATAATGAAACTATTCCCTTTTCATTTTAATCGAATAAGATAGTAAAGATTTTTGAATTAGCTAGAAACTGATGAGATGTTTTCACAAATCAGATTTTTAATCTCTATAATGCATAATTCATTCAATATCTCAATTTTGATATTGCGAGATATTTTTGCTATCGGTTTCGCAATTTTGACACAATAGCAAGAGGGTTCTATAAGCATTATTATCAACGTAGAATCTGAATATCATATCAGAAAATGTCGCAAATCTGACATTTACCCGACAAAATAGCAAAAATAATTGAATACTTTTCGCAAAAACTTTAAAAATCGATAAAAATATGAAATATAGATATTAAAGAGACTTTTTATATAATATTCATAAAGATTTTCCAAAAATATGATACCGCAAAATTAAAAAAGTGACGTCTTGAGTGGAGTCAAAGGTCGAAATTGCTAGCTAAATGTTTTTTTAGCGAAATTGCGTATTGTACGTTTTTTCGCAAAACGAAACCCTTATTTTTCATATAATTCAATAATTAGATCTTGAAATTTCAAAAATTCAACTATAAAAAATAGCAAAATCCTTAGTCATATTGACTCCTGCATGACATGCCATAAAATCATACACATATTATCCTTTTGAGCATATCTGAAATAGCAAATTAATGATCATTAATAGGTTAAACATCAAGTGTTCTTATAGACTCTTTCATTGTCTCAGAAAAAAGTTTTGAGCCTTAGGGATTCATACTGAAAAACGTTATAGATAAACTGCTGAAGAGATAGATGCATTGCGATTCTTTTTGTCATAATAATCATTGTTATCAATATGCATTAACAAATGAGAGATAATGAAGTTTTTCAATATAATAATATTACATATTCAATAGTTGATGTATTCCGAAGAGAAGTTCGTGTTGGAACTGGAATATTCAACGAGACTTATCCAAATGCTGTTAATGCAACATATTCTGGTATATTATGTATTCCAAACTTTATTACATACTCTGATCTACTATGGCGTGTTGTTGAAATAGGCACATGCTCGTTCGCCTACTGTAATCAAATATTATCTGTAAAGATAGGCTATAATATCGAAATTATAAAGAACTATGCATTCTTCAGATGCTATTATATCGAAAATATCACATTTGAGAAGCATAGCCGCCTCAAAACACTTGAAATGTATTCTTTCTATGATTTATATGGCCTCAAAACAATTGAATTTGGAGGTGACAAGCTCCAAACAGTCGGTCATTACGCATTTGGATTTAATTTAGTTCTCAAATATATAAGATTTCCTCCATCTGTAAGTTTCATTGATGAAAAAGCATTGAGAGGCTTGGAATTATTAAGTAGGATAGATTTTTGCGGTGTGTCATCAAGTAATAAAGACATATTCGCAAGAATTGATCAAGAGAATCATTTAACACCTACAAATGTCATGATAAAAGTAACATCACGTTACCAATCAGAAAAATTTGGGATAAATGATAACGTGAATCTTGATAATTCGATAGATTGCATATTCCCTCATGCACTCCGTGATTATGATCTTCAGTGCCGAACAATTTACCACAGTAGTTATTTCTTTTATTATTCCTTATTCTCAATTTTCATTCTTATGTCTGACTCATAAATAAAATTCTTTTTTTTTCCTATCAATAAATAACTCTTTTAGAACGTCCAGACACAAACGCTATCAATAAATACAATCCAATCTACAAAAAGGAATCTTTAATTTTCGGTTTTGGATCTTTATTGAAGAGAGACTCAAATTAAGATAGTATTAATTACATGTAAGTATCATGCGGAACTCTGAATTTTCTCAATTAGCCTAGATAGTAAAAATAAATTTATTAATCTCTTGAAGTTTATATATATACTACAAACAATTTCTTGTATTCTGACATATGAGATCTATTGGTTTGTTGGATTTGTATCTACTTGATGAATTGCGATCTGATCAGGATTTTCTGTAATTAGTCTTGCAATTATTCTTTTGGCTGCTTCTTTTTCATATAAGGCTTGCGCAAGCTCTCTTTCACATTGTCCAAGTTTCTTTCTTGTTTCAAATAATTCTTTTTGAAGAATGTTCCATTGATTTTGAAGGCCAGAAAGACAATCACCAAAAGAAGAAGCCTGAAATTCGGGCGGCTCTATATTTGTTTGTGAAATTTGTAATTCAATTAGATCATTTTCATGAAGTGGATTTCCAGTAACTGGACAAACTGGTGAGTTTTTAATAGATTTTAGTATTTCTTCCTTATCATATATAATTCCATTAGGCGTGACAACAGGAACCTTTGGTATTTGACCTGTTAATGCGCAATGGAGCATTTTGAAATGAATGAAAAATCAGTAGCTTTGACTTATATGTTCAATAAGAAACATAAAAATAAGACTTGTCTTTGTTTCCACTGTGATTATCTCACTACATTTGAGCTCAAATATGGTTTTTATAACAGAAAAGAAGGAGAATATACAAACATTAGATATAGATTCTATTAGTTGAGTTTAAATTCAAAATTAAAATCTTTTTATTATTTCATTTTTTAAAACTGCGTTTTGGATCACATCCGCCCTTATCCAACTAATTCATAAGTTAAGCTGCTGTGCAATAAGTTGTTTTGATTGGGTATGTTTACTTTGATAAACGAAAATATGGCGTAAAAATGAGATTTTAATGATATAATCCCATTCTCATGATGCTTGTTAAATTTTAAAAATCTTTGGTCACTTTTCAAATCATTTTTATGTCTGTAGAGAAAGATATCGAGAACAAAATTAACATAATGCTCACGGAAATCACAGAGAAAGGCAACTCTTGCAAACTCAAAGCAGTCATTGATAAATTTTCTTGCAATGAAGAATATTTGGATGTAATAGGAATTAAACAATTAAAAGAACTTGATTATTATCAAATTGACACTTCTAAATTATGCAAACATTGGAAGTACATTGGTAAAACTAAAAAAGACGTTCAAACCGGTCAAAAAGTTCAACAAAAAACCCTTAATGATTATATTCGTAAAATTAAAATTGATAAGGGAAATGAGTGCATCATATCATATCAAAAATTAGAATATGAGATTCAATCCGAACGCATTTCAAATGCTTTTGGTTTCTTGGGAAACGAAGCTATCGAACATTGCTTAAATCAATACAAATATTGCACTGAATTGATCGACGAATTTGAACAGTTTAACAAGCAGTATGACGGCCACTTGAATGAAGAATCCATCTGCCAATATCTCAGCGAAGGAGATGAGAAAACTCAATTTGGAATCAAGACATTTATTGATGACTTTTTTGGAGAATCTTGCACCAAATACGGACCAATTTTCTATGAAATTTTGTTTAAATTCGGACCAAAAGACAAAATTAAAGAAAACTTCACCAAGTTAATAAAGCCAGACAAATACGAATTGTATAATTGGATCCAGTTTGGCAAAAGTCTCACCGGAGAATATAAATGCCCTGTTGTTAGACCAAGCAGCAGCAATCCTTTTGCTTTCAAAGTTGATACAGGTGATGGAAGAATATTAACTATTACAAGGGATTTCAATGATAAACCAAATTCTTATGTTCTTAATGATAATGAAAAAGTTATTGAGGGAACAGGCTTTCGTGATGTTCTTGAAAAAGCAGGGCTTGTATTACATGATATCGATGTTGGCAAAGAAATTGAAAAAAATTTTTCAGATTTCTTTGCAACTTATAATACAAATGATTTTTAAAGCTGTAGCTATAAGATGTAATCGAGTCTATTAATTATAATGTTATGATATATGAAGATATAAAATTTATTTAAAGCTTTTTTTTTATCTATAATTTTCGTCTTCATTTTAAGGGTGTACTTACGCTCATCGGACTTTAATTCAAATTTATGATAACTGGAGCACAGCAACATTGGAATCAACCTAAAACAACATGATTGAATTCCGTGTCAAACCAAAATAAGTACACTATAAACATTCATTATATACAAATGATAGAATAACTAGGCAATTAATTTTAATTTGTATAGATGATTGATGATATTGTGATTCTCACTAATTTGTTCACCCTATATTCATAGTATAGATTAATTTAAATTCGAACCCCTCTCTCAGATAATTTTCTTATTTATTGTGAATTCAAAAAAAAATTATAAATTATAACAGTAAATGTTTAACATTAGGAAGAGCTACATCATATGGTTTCTTTTGAGACCCGCTAAGAGTATCCTTCGACAGTCCATAATCTAACAATAAAGAAACAACTTTCTCATTACCTTCTTCTGCAGCAATATGAAGCGCAGATTTATCATAAATCGTGTTTCTGAAAATGTTTACATCTTTTCTCTGACAAAACTCTTTGACATTTTCAGGGTTTCCTTGTTCAACAGCTTCGAGAAAAGGAGTTGATCTATAATTATCTAATTCATCAGCTTTAATACTTTCTAATGAAAGCAATTTCTTAACAATATCGTGATTTCCAACTCTACAAGCAAAGTGTAAAGGAGTTGAACCATTTTTTGACTTTTTATTGATGTCAATTTGAGGAATACTCAATAAAAGATCAATAATATCAATTGACTCGTTGACAATAGCTTTTATTAAAGGAGTCTCACCTATTGGATCCGTTTCGTTGATTAAAAAATTTTTGGATTCTAATAATAATTTGACAATTTTGAATTCCCTTGTATTTACAGCTGCGATCAGAGGATTCATTGAATTGATCATCTGTAAGTCATAATCAAGTATATTTAGTGAAATGTCAAGTAATAATAATTTTCCAAATTTTATTGAATCTGAAGCAAATACGAAGGCAAGTTGAACTCCTAATTGGCCAGCCCATTGTAAAAGTACATTGAGAGCCGGATATTTTGTGTCTTCCATGTGAAAATAAATAAATCTAATTTGATCGATAATTTCACGATTATTCTGATCATTATTGATATCAATTCTTTCTAAAACCCATTCGATCATCTCCGGAGAGCCATTTTGCAAAATTGGTCCAATAATTTTTTGAAAGTTATATTTTGAGGTTTTTTCAAAGATTCTGAATATTTCAAGGTTTCCTCCTTGAATTATGTATTTTTCTATCTTATCAAGATTCGCATTGTTGGAAATTAAGAATTTAAAGCAATTAATCGCGCTATTCTTTGCTGCTAATTGAATTAATGATATTTCTTGAGTGGTAGGATTAGTCATGAAGAATAAAGGTCCTATTTGAGCATTAACATCGAAAGAAGGATCTGTTGATAATTCAATAAGAAGATCAACATCATCTCTTGCAATAGCAGCCGCAATTGTATGATCATTGTAGCCATTTAGTATAAGGTATTTCCTTTCATTTACGTTTTGCATTAAATCTAATGTAATTCTCATGGCTTTAATTTCTCTTTTTCGATCTGGGCTTGGTTTACTATCAAGAATTGATGTAATGTCGGAATAAATATCATCTGTTGGATTTATAAAGTCTCTAAGAAAAAGCAAAACGAGAATAAGTTTTTCTGGTTCAATATCTGAGTCAATTAATTGTTCTAAATCTAACAATCCATCTAAATAGATGAGTAATATCATTCTTGCAAACCATACAGAACTATAATACTTATTAAATTCATAATGCAAATTTTCCAAGAAATTATCGAGCTTTTCGTAAAATCGAGTAAATAATTTAATCTTTGATGGATGTGAAAGAATCAAATTTTTGATTAAACTATATAAATCGTCGATTTGGAAATCATATGAATTGATTAATTTTATATATGATTCAAAATCGATATCTTCTATGTGAGAGAGCTGACTGAATGCCTCCATGAATATCTCTGAGTAGTGCATAATGGAATTCTGAATCATTTTTGCTGGACGAACAGTTCGATCAAAATTCTTGATAACATAAAACTAGTAACTTTGCTAGATACATTACTATTTAATACTCACAAATCAGTATGAACAGCTTATACAAGGCTCGCTAGACGTAAAATGCGACATACATAGTTCAAATAAAGTAATAATTAATGAAAACCAGAAAATCATGTATTCTATTACTATGATCAACAATTTTAAGTATCTTATATCTACATGAGATATTGTGCAATTATTTTCTGACAGAGCGCGCGCAATATCAGTGTTTCCAAATATAATTTATATTTTTTAATAAACAAAGTTCTGCATTCGTCATAGAACATTTTGTAACGCCATGCAGACGAAGACACCACACTCCTTTATTTCAGAACAATTGGTATTATGAATTTCAACTATTAAAGGTTTAATACTAGCATTGAAACAATATTAATATTAAGAAAACTAGCATTTCTTAACGCAAATAATAACGCCAACAATAATGGAGACAATGACAATAACAGATGCAACCGCAATAACTGCAATAGCCCATACAGGGAAGCTACTGCTGCTGTCCGCTGTATTCTTTGTATCTTCTTTAACTTGATCTGTTGTTTTAACAGCATCTTCTCCAAGAAGAATTACTTCTAAATCATCAGCGAAGAGCATCTTTTCTATATCTGCTGGTGGACTTCCTGTCTTCAAAAATTCTAGTTCGACTTTACCCTCTATATTATATTTATAGTTTCTACCTTTTTCGATATACGCTATATAAGATCTAGATTCATCTATTTCTATGAATATTTCTCCATTAAATTGTGCTGCTTCGCTTCTAGGACGATCTTTCTCTGTTCTAACTATAAGATAAATATTATCGTTATTTGATGTATTCATGATTTTCTTAATTGAAGGATTAATGTTCATATATGTCAATGATTCAGTAACAAATGTTAATTTTTTTTCTGAAACCCTATATTGAGTGTTATATTTTATTTTTTGAGAAAATGATCCTGATGCCATTGTTGAAAAATAATTTAATTGTCTTTTTTGCTTAACAGCAACTGCATCCCAATCATGTAATTTATCTTCGGAATAACTAATTTCGGTTGGAATAAATGGAACAATTTGAAGTTGGCATCCATCTAACTTCGTTAGACATTTGACTTTTGAATAGACATATGATGTAGATTCATTATACGTTACTGCAAGTGGATTATTTACTGTGACAGATTTAGTGACTTTCATTGTATTTGGATTCAAGAACTTGGCTTCAACTTCATAAGCTGTATTATTACTTGCAATGAAATAAGCATCTTCATAACAATATTCTTGATTTGGTTCCAGGTTGATAATGCCTTCAGCACCGGAACATTATTATTTTTATATACACGAGGAATTCTACTTACTGCTAACCTATGGAGGAGCATTAATTATTAATGGAAAAAAAAATCGGGTCGTATATATTCAAAATTTGTGAGATTCATAATATTTTAACAAAAATAATTCATTAGGATATATGTGGCTTCATTTTAATTTTTTGACAATCAAAAATTTTGCCAAAATCAAACAAAAAATGCTGATTTCACGTATAACTAAAGACAGGCTTGTACGATCAGGGTTCATTGACATTACAAGATCCAAAAAGAAATTCAAAGATTATGGTGTTTGGAATGGAAGTATCCTAGAAATAAATCTTTCAGGAGAATTTCTAACTGATACTGTAATTGACTTAAATGACAAAGCACACTCAATTCCTCGTTACGAAAAGTGTTTCAGAAAGCCAGAATACCCCTTAACATATTATCCTGACAAAAACAATTCATATAATTTAACAGTTGAAATTACAGAGAACATGATTATTTATCCAAAAATAATAAATTGCAAGAACAGATTTATTGATTACTCATTTGTAATCAAGAATCCAGGCCCTAACATTGATTCCAGATTTGAAAAATTAAAGACTCTATATTTGGTTCTTTCATGCATTCATTTTATAGGCTCAATTGCATTACTATTCATTCAATACTATTTTGCATCTTTTGGAGCATTATTAAAGTCAATTACAACATTTATTTTATTTTTTTCGATCAAAAACATTGATATCCTTGGAAGCCATTGCTTTCTGATTGAATATACAAACTACTTTGCAAGTGGACTATTCTTATATTTCACATTCCGCTCAGGAATCATAAAACATCTTGAAGAAAATTCCTATGATGATATTGAAATGATGATTTATCATATATTTGGTTTCTTCTATTCATTTGTTCTTCAATACACGGTAATACGTGGTTACTATCCTCACTATGGAATTATTTACATGATAGCATTAGGTGCAAATGTTTTGGTTTGGGGTGATATATTATTATATTTAGGAATTCTTCCTTCTGAAGTATATGCGCTTAGTTTCTTAGGCTTCTATATTCTTAAATGTGAAAGTAAGTATTTCTACCCACAATTGCTTTATGAAATAGGTGTTTTGATAAATTATCTGAGTATCATTTTCTATCGATATATTTGGCCGGATTTAAAGGACAGAATTGATTACTCAGCCCTTTTGGATATAATCGGTACTACGTTTTAATATATTTTCCCTCTTTCATTCTTGTTTAATTGAATAAATGCGTATTTAATTATATATGTAACCTTTTTTACATGCATCTGTGAATAAATTCATGATAGTATTGATTACTTTCTAGATGTTTACTATGATTTCTAAACGGATGAAAAATAATTATTTGATTCTGCTCTATAATTGACATATATTAGGAGAAAAATTCTAGAATGACAAAAATGAAAAGGCTTTAGCGTTTTAGAACACAATAAAAATGATTTATTTCTCTTGAAATTTTAAATTTTCAAAATTTTTAACCTCATTTTTCCAAAAAAAATCGATAATTGAAAAAAACGTTATCATTTTCTTCAAAATTGCCTAGTCATTTTCTAAAATGGAAAAAATTTGGAGAAACTCAATAAGGAGAACTTCATTCTAGATGTCCAAAACAATTGCTTTCAGTAAAAAAAGCCTCGAAAATTTTAAATATTGATATTGATTTTCATCAATCACTTAATATCGTTTGTTTGCAGTCGATGTTATCGCATATTATTAAATTTTAATTTATTTGAACATACTATAAATCGTTTTTAAAGCTTATCAAAATTTCGCGCAATTTAACAACACTCCAACTATCATACACAGTTACTATTACCACAATCTCATTTTAAGAAGAAACGATTAATAAAATCTAATATCTAACGATTTATTTACTCAATTCGAAAAATATTTTTATTTATTAATCCTTATTTGTGCATATTTTATGCACATATGTAGAAAGAAAAACAAATAAAGTGCTTCTTCAAAAATACCTGAAAGCAGCTTAATCAATAAATAATTTACTTTCTTAACATGGAATTTTGCTCGTCTTGAGCAATCTTTTTCGTTTAACTTTCATAACACGATAAAATATCTGCACTGTCAAGTAAAATACAAATACTTTAGAAGATCATCATATATCTCGAAATCAAACGAAAGTCATTCTATGAGTCCATACACACTATTACTATACTTCATATGCCAAGCATAATGGGAACAATTTTGGTCGATATCTTTGTTGTCGACGATGCTTTCCCCTTTTAACCAGACTTAAATAGAGAAGATGTCTGATATGTTATCTAATTGAAACTTTGAATTTCTTGTTTTCTAATTTAAAGTTTTTAATAAAAAAAAATATAAATTTAATAATCATTCTACTCTTCTCCTTCTGGTTTAGTTGGAATGAGTCTATATTCTGGTGGAACTTCATCTTCTGTGTAAAGTCTATCGGAGAAGTAAATACGTCTAACACGGCAGTTAGCATATACAGAGACACGAAGAGTCTCAATGTAGTTAGTACCATAGGCACGGCGAGTGAAATCACTCAAGTTAAATTGAATTTGGTTCCAGCCTGGATCAAGTCTCATTGGAAGTGTGCAAACAAATGGTTTGACACGTGTTTTAGACTGGAAATTAGATGCGCGGAAGCGACGCCTCATATTCATATCATCTAGTACTTGAATTTCGAATGTAAAGTATTTCTTCAAGTACTTCAATACTAAGACCAAAAACGGAAGCTTAATTGCAAGCTCCTCCTTTGGATCTATTGGACATGTAATATATGTATTGTTAACGGTTGTACTAACGATTTCTAGAACGCAAGATCTGATGTCTGGGTCTGTAAGTCTCTTGATATAGCCATTCTCTACGTGCTGTTCCCAAATGCTGAGGGGTTTTGATCCAACAGAATAGAAAAGATTTAAGAAACCAGCTTGATATTTATCCCTAAACATCTGAAAATTTTAGAACGTTTTTTTTTAAACATGGAAAATTAAAATCCCAATTTGATAATGTTAATATATCATCAATCAGTAATATCATTGATTTTCTAGATATTTGACCAATATTAGCAGATTATTAATACATTCTCCATTCGATATCAAGATATTTACCCATCTCATTAGTATCCGCTTGAAATATGCTATTTTGTATCAGTTTCATTTCATTATTGAATGCATTAAATGATAGAAACAAAATTATGAATAAAATTATTGTATATCAAGTTAAAGATTAGAGCAAATGATAATCACATATATGGGGTGATAGTATAATACTAAGCTCTATGTGAATAAAATAAGTAAAATATTTTTTCAAGAAAGTTTTATTGAAAATGATCAAATACTAATTATTTTTAATTGTGGCCTTGTATTTAAGAGTTGTTTCGCCTGTGAGAGTGTTTGCAACAGGGCAAACAGTAGTTAGAGCGATTTGGGCAGCTTGATTGACTTTTTCTTGTGACACACCATCTGCATCAACAGTGAACTTTATATCAATTTCATTCATATGTCTTGCTGGCTTAGTATCAAACTTTCCAATAACTTCGGCAGAAATATCTTTGATTTTGTAGCCTTGCTTCTCAAGATCAGCTCTTATATCAGCTGATGAGCATGCGCCTAATGCCATAAGGATTGCTTGCCCTGGACGAACTGCTGGTTTTGAATGATCTGTTGATAAAAGAATATCAATACCACTTTTGTTAGTGCAAAGCCATTTTCCATTTCCAATGCATTTGATGACAGCCTTATCAACGCGTGTAATACTGCGAGAAATTGATGAAAGCATTTGTGTGAAATAAAAAAGTGGCAGTCGTTCAGATTTTTGACATTTTATTCCCATCATTTTAACTTATTACGGTAATCAAAATTTTTATAATTTTTATTTGAACCCTAAAAATTTTGTCACTTTTGCAATATTCAATCATGATTTAACAATTATTATAAATGCGTAGATAGCAAAGCATAAAGACAATATTATACATAACATGTTTAAAAAAACAACGATATAACAATAATTAGCGTTCAATTTGAAGATTTTTGCAATTCCAAGACATCCTTTATGGTTGGTATATCTATTGGCGGTGTCGCTATTACATCATACGATCCTTTTACATTCACGAGGATAAATCTCACAATAACAGCATTTGCATCCTGTAAAGTATGTACTCGGCCTTGATCTTTAAGGTCTGGTGTTTTAGCAACTTCACAAAGGCTCATTAAGCTAATTACTCGTCCGAGAGCGGAATTAATATATTTATTTTCGCAATTTCTTGCATAAGGAAGGGAAACATCCGATTCTCGTGAGAAATAAATGCCAGGACCGAACTTTGAACCGTTTACTTCCATATTTGTGCCAGTTGCGTTGACCAAACCATTTCTAAGAATTGAATGCCATCTAGTAAGGTGAGAACCATGGAATAGGAATGTAGATCCATAAGAACTCTTCAATTTGTTGAAATTTTCATCTTTTTGTGGTGATGAAAGAAAAGTCATGAACATGATGCAGTCTTTGTTAAAAATAGATGGTTTGAGGGTGTTAGGAAGACAATATATCTGCGCTCTATTTGAAAGAATGATCCATTTGACTAAATTAAAGGGTTCATCACCAATAAATTTTTGAATGTCATTATCGTTTTGGCAATTCTCCATAATTGTCTTAAGAGAAGGTAATTCTTGGAATATCTCTTTCATTTTTGTCAATTCGAACTCAGTTGGACATGGTAAATAATATTTATCATCTAATGCGCATGCAAACAACGTAAGAAGCAAATCAGCAACATTCTGATCTCTTTGTATTTCAGAATATAGCGAATTTCCGACTCCAAGCTCTTGAAATGTGAAATTACAAAGTTGTTTTTTGCAAGTTGTTGGTTTTATGCCTGGCATATCGATTTCATCGCCGCAAATGATGCAGTGATTGTAAATTCCTAAGAATGCTTCACAAATTTCAAGAGTTAAATATAAAAGTGGACAATCATTGTATTCAAAGGCAATATGTTGATGATTTTCATTGCATTCTCCTGTCATCAAGAACTTCTGAGCATTTTCATAGTTATTATTGAAGTATTTTAATACATTTTCAACAGCAATTAGATCATAACCCTCATTACTTAATTTATTAACTAATGTGCTATCAGAAGTACCAGGAGATGAAAGAATTAGCACTGCAGACTTATAGTATTGCTTTGGCTTGTAATTTTCTGAGAAAAATTTATTAATTACGGATTCTATGTAAACTCGACCAATATATTGCTTTTTGTATATAGGATGTGATACATCTAAAGATATGGGTTTCTTTTTCCAATTAAAGCCATCCAGCTCGAAATCTATATCTAAAATGTTCTCTGAAGAAAAGAAACCTAAAACTGTTTGTATTGAAAGGGGTAGAAACGATTTTGGAATTGATAATCTAACAAAGCACCCTACTAATTGAGCTGGCTTAGAATATACAATTAAATTATAGTTATTTACAATATTTTGGAGTATTGTTGCATTGGCATTTAACGTGGTATCGTTTGGTACATATACGTCTTCATCTTCATCTAGATTTATTTCTTCAACATCTTCTCCATTTTCAGACATTATTAATTTTTGACACTTTATTTGTCAAAATTATTAATTTATGTCACTTTATATGTCAATTAATCCAAAAAGACATTCACTTCAGGACAAATGTTAATTGATTCTTTAAAAGTTCATATCTCTTTTGTTTCTAGGGCTTAGATGTTCTAAATTTATCAGAATTTCCATTTAGATTTATGTTAAAGTAGATCAACACTTTTTTATATTTTGACAAGCCCAAATCAGTTAATGAATGAAAATTACCAAGGCCATTTGGACCTTCGGCATATTTAATTGAAGTGGTACTCAAATGAGGCTTCAAAGATTAGAGATGCATGATATAATCAATTATACTTCATGCAAATTATTAAGTAAATTTGGTACTTCTGATAACGCATTAGGTAATCATTTTGCGCTTGAATTGCGTTCTAGCCTAATGGATCATCGATATACAATGCTTTATGTAACCAATGGATTGCAATATACTAAGATATAAGAAAAGATATCTAAAAGAAACAACTTTATTATAATAATATTTAAAACAATAATAAAATACATATAGTTAACTTAAAGGTTATACTTGAACAATGAAGCAGTCAAATTATTTAATGTTTCATCCATTTCTCGTTTTTGTTGAGAAGAGAGAATTGTTGCGTATCTGTCTTGGAAAGTCAAAATCAAGTGTTGAACAGATTGTATAGACTGTAGATATATCTGTGCCAATTCACAAAGCATCTTTGATATCTGAACAATCAAAATTGTATCAACTTTATCTAAATTAGTTTCTTTCTGAGCTTCCAATCTTTGGCAAGCGTAAGAAACTGCCTGTGCAATGATCTTGTTCTTTGTCTCACTATAAGCAATCATCAATGACAAAATAGTTGGATATCTAGAGAGAGTAAACGTGTTAATTCCATTCAATAATTCATTGGCTAAACTATCAGTCAATTTGATGTATTTTGCAAAAATCTTTGACATAGAAACAGGAAATTCTTTGCTCAAAATGAGAATGAATCTCTTTGGAGCACGAATCAAAATGGAAATAAACCAACCAAGAACTTCTCTGTCTATCCTTGAATCGCTGAATCTATCAACAGCATCACATAAACAAACACAAACTGATGCTTCTTCGACATTTTCATCTCCATGAATTATATCCAAAGTGCATGTCAAAACAATTTTCAAAGAGTTCTTATGATGAAGAACACTGTCTTTCAGCTGGAAGACAAATTGGAGATTGGTTAATCTCATGGGAGCTCCAAGATTCTTCAATGTCGCAAGAACAAAGTCAAAAGATGAAATGAAATGACAAGCAGACCATTCTTCGTATAATTCATCGGAAATCGAGTCTGGATTATTCCTTATGTCCTCGAGAACTTCACGTGGATGGCGAGGAGTTGTAATATCATCCATGGAAAGAGAAAGGAACCTTTCATCATCAGCAAATGGAAAACATGTCCTCAATATATCGCAAAAGATGAAGAAAACTTCGTATTTCGAACAAGCGGAAAGAATTAATCGGACAGGAATGTGCTGTAACATATCTCTCTTTCTTGGTGAATTCAACATCATTACTAGAAGACATGCAGCTGTTGCAGGGGCTGGATTCTTCTTGATGTATTGGACATCAAAGAATGGTTTGTCGGAAACTATCTCTTCGATGATATCTGGTAGGTCTGCGTTCTGTGAAAGTGCTTGCATGAACTTGTTGATTGATTCAAAGTCGCTGGAAGTGACTTCAGTAAGAGATCCAATTGCTCTGGCGAAATGTTCGCGAACTTCATCAGGTCCTGACTGCGAGAGTGTACTACCAATGATGGAAAGTGCTTTGGGATGGTTGTCAACGTATTTCTTCACATATTCTGGGAGATTTGGTCGACAAGATAATTCATGGAAGAAAGTTCCTTTCGAAATGGTGTTGAAACTCTTTCCAAGATAAGTTGTGATCCATTGAGCAACTAAATCTGTGTTGTCAAAGTACAAATTCGAGAAAAATAACATCATATCAATAAAAGATTCTTTCTTCGCACACATGTAGTCGATAATTGTGTTTATGTACGTAGGTGGGAAAACATGGATGTAGAAGAAAAGAGAACAAAGAAATTTTGTATCCGGACATTTTATTAAAACTTTTGCTTCGCTCTCATTCATGCTTCTTAAGCATGCACACATCCTTGCAATGCAAAGATAGTAAGCTTTCGTGTCGCATTTGATTGTTAATAATTTTTCAATTGCTTCTGTAAGTGGTTGGAAATTGCAATCAAATTTTTCAAGTAGTAAACTTGGAGAGTTGATTCCAAAGTAGTGAACGTAAAGAACTGAAAGAGTTTTCGGATCAATGACTAATTGCTGTAATAAAATGGGTCTGAATTGTGGAGCTAGAACGGCAAGCTTGATTCTGATGATTTGATTTGTTAATCTCATGAATAATGGTGTAATGAAATGAGGAAATGCAAAACATGTTGATAAAATTGCTGTTTCATCCATACCTAGAAGGATTGTAACGAATGTGATAAATGGGACTTCCGCTTTAAACCTATTGTATAAGATTGGGAAGATATCTGCTAAATATCGAGAATAAGCTTGAAAATTAAATAATTCAATGGGTTCTCCTCTAGTTTGTTTATCAAGATCTCTTTTAAGGTAAGCAACTTTTTGTCCATCTGTAAGAGAATCGATACTTTGTTGTGGAGCTTCATCTGGAATAGGTTCTATTGGAGCTTGGTGTACGGCAATCATTGACTGAATACGAAATGATGGTTTTGATTTAAGTTTGGAGAAAACTGGTCTATATTCTTTAGCATTTAATACTAAGAATGGGAGAACAACATTTAATTCCAGCTCTTCTTCAGTTTGAATTTGATTTCCCTGTCCACTATGCATCATTTCAAATAAATTGGAGAGCTTAAAACATTCAGTAATTATTTGGACTGGATCAAAATGAGGATTCATTATAAAAAATGGATCAATGATTAAGGAAACATAATATAATTTCTATGTAATATTATATACATTCGTTCATAGTGCAAAATAATTGAATAATGATAAAAATTTCAAAATCTATTCATCTATGCCTCCAACGAAAGATCTGTTATGCCATAGCGTATTGTATGCTATATTCAGTAGTCAAAAGCGCAATTTATTACATTTTTAAAATCCAAATATATTTTGGTTAACAGAGTAGACAAGCTTAAAAATATATCATATTTAATGCATTTTAGTACAAAGATCATTACAGAATTCGAATAATTAGCAGATTCTTGAAGTCATATTATGTTAAAATGATAATTGTGCTACATTTCTGGCGAAGAACAAGTAGGCAAATTATCCCTATCATAACGATTACAAATTAGTTCAATAAAAAGTAAGACGTTTATTAAAATTTTGAGAAATTACCGGTGAAAAGTAATATTGGATATTTCTATATGTGAGTATTATTTTTAAAAACAACTAGTTTTTAATTTCTTATATTCAATTTTTAAGAGGCATAAAATTTTATATTACAAGATTGAACAAATTGATGTATATATTGTAGATATAAACTCCAAATTATAGCTAATTTTCAAAGAAAAAAACACAGTCAATTTAGTTAATTGAAAAAACCAATCCGATATATGTTTCAACCATTTTCAATTTAAAAAATTTTCAAGTATAAAATTGAGTCATTCACAAAAATTAGATTCAATTTCAGATACCGATACTAATTGATATATGTTTAAAAACAACTCTTTTAGACTTTCCAATAAAAAAACTTTGAATAAATCATAATGATTGGATACAATTACCTTGCTCATTCGGAAGTATTAACTCCATTCCTTATATTTTGTCGATATTTTGATGATTTGGGTGCAGTTAGTACATGGCAAATAGTTGGGCAGCATATTGTTTCCAATTTAAATATGTTATTGATTTTATCTCAGGCGATAGCGACCACAGTTATGATTCTACAACGATCTAATCAGGAAGAAGAAAACGAGTCTCTCAGAATATTTCGAGAAATTCTTGGAATTACTTATGAAACTAATATTGATTCAATTTACTCTGTTAAAGCTATATACACGTATCTCATTATATTTGTATTCTCAGTCGTTTCAATGATTATACGTTTAGACCAACGAAAATCCAGAACAATACTACCAATGCCGTCATTATTGTTTAATTCTTTTTACAATATTATATCACCTATATTTGTTACATGCATATGTATCGGATTTTCATCATCATTGTTTAATTTGATAGCTCTTGACAATATAAATGCAATTGTAATCTTAATTCTTTCAGGATTATCAGCACCTGCTGCAATTTATGGAGTTATTCGAGTTATTACAGATTCACGCATGGAAAAGCTTCCATACGCTTCTCCTATGATAGAAATTTCAATGGGCGTTTTTTACTACTATATTGCATGCATTGTCGGTTTAATTTACGTAGAATATTCAAATACAGAGCGAGTCTCAACACTTTTTCTTACAATTGTTTTAATGGTAATTGGAGCAATTTTTATGTTCCAAATCTTTAAATTTCCTATATATCATTCACCATGGCATTCACTGATTGCAAGAATCGTCTTAGGAACAGTAACTGCATGTCTTGGAGTAATTTGCACTTCAACATCTTCAAAAATTTCAATTAAAAAGGCCCTAACTGATATTGGAATTACTGCGATAACATTTGCTGTTATAGGAACATTGCATACATATATGTCACGTTGGTGGGTTCGAAGAACTTTGAAAAGAATCGAAATTGTTGATCCTAAAAACTATTCACCTCAAAGACTTGCGAGATTCCTTTGTGTTGCTGATGTAAGAGCTGACCAAGAGAAATTTGCCAATGATTTTCCAGAACAAGTCATGAATTGTTTTCCGGATAATCAATCGCTCGTTGTTTTTTCGATTGTATACAAATTATACGATATTAATGCTCATAAGGATTTATTACTATTTGCGCAGCGTTTATCAATGTTCAACGCAACAAATAATTATTTATCTTCAATATTAAGATCGATTATATTTGTTGCTCAATCATCGACATTAGCGAAGGGTAAAGGTATATCTTCTGCACTTCTTTCGAGATGTTATAAGCTAGAAGAGCAGTTTTGGCTCCATTCAATACAAAATAACCGAAAAATGTCTCAAATTGTTTATCTAAACCTATCGAAACTTGTTCAACGTGCCAAGCCATTCTTCGAACGCCATAACGCTGTGATCGGCGGAATAGACGCTTTTTTGGGAAATATTTTATTCACAAAAACCAATAAATTACAGAACAATTATCTACCAGATGGACAAGAAGAGGAAGAAAAATCAGAGAATGGCCTCCAACTCCAAGAATATTTTGATGTCAATGATGATTATTTTTCTGAAAGGATGGAAAGCATTTCTAAGTATAATCCTGCTAACTACAAGCTTGTAAGAGGACTTTTGATCACTATAATTATTCTTATTATTTTTGTTTGCGTTTTAATTTACATTTCAGTCTCTCATGTTGATTCTTTCTCATATGCAAAGTATAATTTAGTTCAGAACCTTTACAAAATCTTTGCCATTATCATTAACTCTTGTTCAATTCCTGGATATTATTATCTTCATCCGGTAGATAACCAAACAAGAGCAGAATTGGTGCAATATATTAACGACTCATATGATTTTATTTATGACATCAAGGCTATAAGTAATAATGCGACACTATTTGGAAAATTTGAAAATTTGAAGCAATTAGTTCAAAATGCAACACTAGCAGGTACTTACGTTAATAATACTAACTCATCAACTGAATTATTTGGCTTGCTTTATTGGAGAGGAAGGGTTTTATTTGATTCTTTTTCTAATTATGGTCAAAAAGGATCAAGTACACTCAAGAGATGCCTCTATTGTTTAACTGCTGCATTTTTCGTATTTCTTATCCTATTTTTAGTTGCAAAATTCGGAATGGCAAAATATTACGAATTTGTTGGAGGACAGACCATGTATTTTAACAAAGACTTTGCATCAATGATGAAAGTAAGATATGAAGCTCTTACAACTATTGATATTAGGCTTACAGAAGAGCAATTCAAATATAAGGATTCTTTTTGGGTCTTTTTCATCATTGCTTTCCTTCCATTCTTTATATCATATGCATATTGTCTTGATTTATACTCAGTTTCTTCAAAATTTGTACAATTTAACACCAATACTTTATATATCAGTCAAATTGTACCAATGATAGCCAATAATAACCTCCTATTACCACAATATTTGAGTAATTCAACAGGATTGAATAACAGTTTAGCTTTAGAATCTGTCAGATTAACATATTCGTTAATTACATCATTGATTAACTCTTTGTACATCCATCCTGTTACATATAACTATGACAATATTACCAACTTCGAAGAAGATCCAAATATGATCAATTTCACAACAATTAAAGAAAAAGAACTCAAACAAAAGCTAGATATCATAAATAAGACAATATTTTCAGATTTCTTCAATGCTACAACAATTTTGCTCAGAGATTGTTACCTTTTACTATCAGAAGAAAACGAAGAAAACCTAGATTACGTTCTTAAGATGTTAGTTCCGACCACTTTAAGCACTGTGCAGTCTGCAAAAGATCTACTTTATGAATTTAACTTCAGACTTACATTTTTAGGTGATTCTGTATTATTTACTTTTATATTTGCACCAATACTATTCATTTTAGCACTATTTTTGATGACAATATACGTGTATATGGCTATTAAAAGGCTTGATACCTCCTGTGACCTTGTTAAAAGAATTATTTCCCTTCCAAGATTAGATAATCCTTTCTTTGACGAAGCCAATCAGTTCACAGGTTTCAAGAAGCTTCCTAAACGCTTATCATCAGAGATTTATTCGGCATTTCCGATGCCAACGTTCCAAGTTACAAAAGAAAAGAAGATTTTACATGAAAACGAGATCGCATGTGGAGTATTTGGTGATATAGTAGGTACAGATGCTTCTATCCTTCCTCAGAAAGTGATAGATTCCACAGGTCATCATCATTATTTCAATTATTCTTGGCATTTCAAAAAAGCACTTCCAAAATCATTACATGTTGATGGAAATGCTGTTATTATATCAAATGATATAACAAGTCTCGTAAACAAACGCGAAATGCTCAAGAATTTGTACAAAGACATACGACTCACTTTTTCAATTCCGACGGTTTTACAAAGAGAGAAACCAACACATATTCAAAACGTCGCTATTGTTAATTTCTGTTTCTCAAGGGATGTAACCAATGAAAAGTTCCTTAACTACTCTTCGAAGATTGAAGATTTCTTCAGTCAATTCGTTTCATTTTTCATGTTTGAAAAAATGAGATTTTCTTTTTACGTTTTGTTCTATGATCCAAATGCATCCAGACAAGCTTCAAGAGATGCAATAAGCTTCGCACAGATCGCTAGATACGAAGCAAATAATAGACAAGTCGAGTGTAAAATAGCCGTGGCGATGGAAGAAGAAGTTGTTGCAAAAGCGGAGAAAACTGACATGATTTGGTCGGTGAAGTTCCCTAATGCAATTTTGTGGAGAACTGACGCAATGTTCTCGCAGATTGATTACGGACGTATTATATGCTTGTCTAAAATGTCTCCTGGCATGCATTTCACGAAGTCGATTCACATCGGCATAACTAATGAACAAACTGAAGTTATTACATTCTAATTATACTATATATTGATTTGTTTGTATTTATAATAAATATGTTTCTATGAAAAAGATATCAAATCATTTTTTAACACTTGTAAAAAAACTTAAAATAAACGAGAGTTTTCGTTTGCAAAAAATCCATTTTGAAAACTTGTTTTGGATACAGATTTCAATGTATATGCCATCAAATCTATATGATCCTATTAACAAGGCTTGAATTATGTCGTCTGTAACTGCTGAGCCAATTTTTATGGAAACAATAATCTGCAGATTTAATACTTTCTCACGCTCTCAATTTTTTAACCGTAGATACGCAAAAAATCCATGTTTTTCAGTTCGAATATAATATTATGACTTGGTGTAGCATTCTCACTATAAAAAACTAATTTCAAAAAGACTAAATTGGTTTATTTTACTTTGGAATCAACTTTATATGTTAAAGTGCATAAAAAAAATTGAGATAATGCCAAAACTGGTTAGTGCACACTTAAGTATTTTTATAACTATTAACAATATTTGATATTTCTTCCACTAATTGAACAACGATTTCGTATTCATCGCTATCATCATCTATATCTTCATTCTCTATATCATTAGATATTTCAGAGTTTAAGAAGTATTCGATAGCTTGATTTCCAATAATTTTCATGAATATAAGAATTGTAGATAATATATATTTCTTTGATGGAACATCTTGATAAATATCAACTACTTTTTCGAAGTAGCCAATTGATATAAGCATATTTACAAGTCCATCAGAACAATTTAATTCAAGAGCTGCATGTATTAATCTAACAGCGGCAACTCTTGAATGGAATGTTGCTGAAAAGCAACTTGAAACAACCTCTTGTAAATTATGTGGTGTTGAAATACAATTTATTATTGAAACTGAACTTTTTTCTTCATAAATAAAAACAAGAATTTGTAGAACTATTTCTGTAACTTCATATGCAGAGTTTTGTATAACCTTTGCCATAAACTCTGGTTTAACCATTTCAATAATCCTTGCTGCGTGGTTTGGATCAGTAGATTTCGTGATTTCCAAAAAGAATCTAAAAAAATGGAGCTGAAATGATTCTTCTAATGGCGTAAACTCATCTAATATGTATTGCTGTTCAAGTGTTTCAACTAATCCGCCAAGAAGCTGTCCCCATTCAAGAATTCTTAAATAATTTTTGTTCTTTTTCAAAAGAACTGTGCAAAGCTGAGCAATCCAATTATCTGATAGCCCCGTATCTGTATCATCTGCTGTGTTCCTTATAGTTTCTGCGATATCAATAATAGTTTTCAAAAAACTTGAGAAATCATAATGAAGAATCAGGCCATATAGAGCACGACAACACCATTGCTTCGTATACTTTCCTATTCTTAATATAGAATAAATTGTTTCAAGAAAAGTTTCGACGTCAAACTCGATATAGCAGTGCAACAATACTGCAGATATAAATCTTATAGATAACTCAACTAAATTTAATGATTGTAAATTCAGAAAATTAAGGCATAAATCAAAATATTCTAATTCACAAAAATGTTCTGAATATTTTGGACTGATTTCAGCAATGCATGACGATAATAAAATTATGTGACACTGATCAGCTATGCTAAGATCTACAATTTGACTCGCATTTGGAAAATTCTCAATAACTCCATATTCTTGAAGTCTTTTTTCATATTTTTGTGGATTTTCTATTATATTTTCACAAATTTGAAATATGATATCTGATTGTTCTCCAAACTTACGTGATTGGAGAAAATTTAATAATGTTTCCAATATTTCATCTGTGTCTTCAATGGAATTGGGTGCCTTAGAAGTATCTTCTAAAGTTCTATGGATTTCTTCATGGGAATTTTGATCTTGAGCTTGATCATCAATGCTATCTTTATATTCATTATCCATAAATAATTTTCAAAAGAGAAGATTTGCAATATCTTTCATCATATTCCTATAAAAAATATGTTTGCATTGTATTTCATGTAAAATCCAATTTCAATTCAATAAAAAATTTATAAACGTTCACATTTTTTTTCAAAAAAATGGCGCTTCTACCAATCCGATTAGACCCGGATTCGGTGGTTTTCCCGCATACATATATGGCAACAAGTACAAGAATGACTATCAAGATCATTAATGATTCAAATCACGTTGTGCGCTATGAATGGCGACGAAATCCAGATTTACTATCCGATTTGAATGAATTGTCTAAACTAGATCTCGGAAATCCAGAACATAGGAAAGATCATGAGAAAAAATTACAATTTAATTCAGATTCATTCTTCATCGAACCGTTATTTTCAGAAATTTGGCCTCATCGCTTTCAGCAAATTGTAGTAACATTCAAACCTAATACAGATGGCATATTCTTCGAAACAGCATACCTTTTCGATAAATTATCAAAACTTCGTGTTCCATTACAACTTCAAGGCTTATCATTACCAGCAGAAGCTGCATTCAACATCGAAACAATACATATTGGCCATGTTAATCTAGGTGACGTCAATGATTACCAAATTATGCTAATGAATACTGGTCAAGTCAATGCAAACTTCGAATACATAGAAGAACAACACGACAATTACTATGATTTCTTGCCAAATAATGGCTCACTTGAAGTAGGCGGATCAATACCTATAATAATTCATTTTGAAGCAAAGCATGTTGGACAATTCTCAGAGTCATTTTACTTCTCCGTTAATGGTAAGACAGAAGGCTGTCCTAAAATCACTCTTACTGGTAAAGTTGTCGGTCCATCATATGTTCTTTCAACACATTGTATTGATTTTGAAAAAGCCGGATACGGATTTGTTCATTCTCAGTCTTTTACCGTAACAAATTCATCTCAAATACCTCTTAGTTATAAAATGCACTTGAGAATTGACGGTAGTTTCGAAAAACACGAGTTAAGCGTGTTACCAGACGAAGGTGTGATTGCTCCAAATGAAATTTCAAAATTCACTGTAGAGTTACTTCCAAAAAGTGTCAAAAACTATAATGCAATCTTAGAATTTTTACCCACAGACTTAGAAAACTCACAAGAGATTGTGATCAAAGCGAATTGCATATGTCCTGAAATTTCACTCCTGAGAAATGTGTTAGAAGTTGGTGATATATTCATCAATAAAAGAATAATGGCTCAATTAATTGCATTGAACAAAACAGAGTATCCAGCTAGATATGAATTCGTTTCTTGCAATGATCCTTCAATATTAGAAGCCAAGATTGAATATGATAATGATACAGGAGTCATACAAGCAAATGGAAGAACAGTTATTCCAGTTTACATAACTCCAAAAATGATTGGACAGATCAGATTAACAAGATTTATCAGAATCTCAGGAGCAACTTATAGACCACTTGATTTCTCAATACAAGCTAATTGTATTGGTCCTAAGATTTTAATGACACCTGAGAAAGTTGATTTCGGTAAATCAACAGTTTTGGTTGAAACCATTAAAAATGTTGTTATCACAAATAATTCACCAATTCCTGCATCTTTCAAAGCATCAATAAAAAAGAGTGGAGATATATTCTCTATCGATTTGAATGAGGCAACAATAGAACCAAATAGTTCTTTAGAATTCCCTATCAAAGCTATTTTTAATGATTCTGTTCCTTTCAACTCAAGTATTGAATTTATTTTCCAAAATTTAGCACCATTCAGCATTCCAATATCAGGAAAAGGAATTGGATGTCCAATTGTTCCTTCAATATCTCTTAGCTCTATAAGCACTGGTATTTTATTTACTAATGAGCCAAGATATATTGATTTCACATTGACAAATAAAGGAAGAAGAAATATTGAAATTAAATGGTTAATGCAAAAAGCAAAATCATTTCCTGATACAGGAAAATCTGCTTCAGTAAGTATCTCTCCAGAATCAGCCTATTTCAAAGTCAATAAAGTTCAGAGCTTTAGAATTACTGTTGTTAGCTCTTATGCAACTCAATATACATGCAATTGTAGTTGTATGGCAATTGTTGGAAAGAAATCTTTTGAAGTTTTCTCTCCGCTAATTTCTGGAACATTCATTGATCCATTAATAACTTTCTCAAAGCCAAGAATGGATTTCAAGCATTATCATGATACAGTTAATGAGTCTAAATCAGCTTTAGAACCAAGCCCCGAGTTATTACCTGGTATAACTCAATCAAATACAATTATTAATTCAACAGAATTAGAAGTCACTCTTTATGTTAATAATCTTGAATATTTTGAAATTTCTCCAAATATTTTTAATCTGAAACCAGGAGAACAAATAGATTTTGATGTAACATTTTTAACAAGTAAGAAGAAAGATTTCTTAGCGCAAAAGATAGATGACAACATTAGATTCGAAATAGAAGGCAATCCAACAAATATTTACCTTCCTGTTTCAGCAATTTATGCATTTCCAAATCTCCAATTCAATTCACTTGCTCCTCTTAATTTTGGAGTTTTGAGTTCTGAAACAGAATTAACTAAAGATATAACAGTTAAGAATACTTCTTTAGTTGATTGCCATTACACGTGGGAGCTTACAAATCGACATAATGATCAGCTAATTAATCAAGTCTTTGATATTTATCCATTTTCTGGTGTTATTCCTGCAGGTTCAAATGAAACTTTCCATTTTTCATTTTACGGAAAACTTAGAGAAGGAAAATTATCATCTTCGTATGACACAATTGCGATATGTCATGCAACAGGCGGTCCTGATTATACAGTACAATTGTGTGGAGAAGTTGCTAAAGTTGATTACGAAATTGAACCAAAAGTTATTGATTTTGGTACACGTTACTTTGATGATTATTTAATCTCAAATATTAAGATTACAAATAGAAGTTTGATTCCTCTTCAATACAAGATCCAAATTCCACAACAAACTTCATTTAATTACATAAATATTGATTCACTTACTGGTTCTGTTGATAAGGAAATGACAGCAACAATAAAGGTGAAGATTTATCCAGGAATTCCAAGAAAATATAATGAATCAATCAATATAACAATAGGTAGATATGATGTAACTCCAATTGAAATCAAATGCGATTGTCAATTCCCTCAGTTGCAATCAGATATGGAGAGAGATACTGATGATCCATTAATGGATACATTCATTCACAGACCTCGTAAAACAACTGCAATTCCTTCACCAGATCACTTGAGTTCCATTGAAAGAGATCTTTTCATTGATATGTTGGAAGCAAAGAAAGCATCAATGAAAATGACAGGAAGAAAGAAATTAGCAACACAAACCCAAGAAGCATATGTTTCAAGTATATTCGTTGTTGATTTCGGAGATATTCTTGTTGGTGAAGATAAATTTGTTGAAAAAACATTTACAACATTTACTCCACTTCCTGTTTCTTTTGAAATAATTGATGATAGTTTGGAAGGAACAGGATTTTCTGTATCAGAAGTTTCCTTCAAAAATGTTTTGCCAAATACGACTATTCCAATAAGATTTTCGTTCGAAACAGCGAAGAGAACAAATAAAATCGGAGGAAACATCGAATTACCAATTTATGTAGCGTTTACTGAAACATTTTGTTATATAATTAGAATTATTGCTACAATATCAATTCCTTGTCTGTCATTTAGCAAAGCTTATTTCATGTTTGAGCCAACAATCATTGGACAAAAGAGAACAATGACTTTGCAAATACAAAACACAAATAGAATTGATACAAAATTCGGAATCAATTGGAAAATGATTGAAAACAAAAAGATTCCAAAGAATATCTTCAAAATTGAACCTTCTGAAGGAATCATTCCATCAATGAGTTATGAAAACATCACAATAACATTTGAACCAAAATCTTCAAGACAATATTCTCTTGAAATCCCATTTGAAACACAGTATAATGATGATGTAACATTTGTTGCCCTCAAAGGTCAAGGTTTCAATCTTAAAATCCAATTTGAACCAGAAAAAATTGATTTCAGTCCAAGATTACCTTACTCTGATCCACAAACCATCAAGTTTAAGATCATTAATCCTACAGACCATGTTGTTGAAGTATTTAATACACAATATGATGCAAAAATTGCTCAAGTGAATATTCCTCAAATGATTTCAGGATCATCAAAGAATATTTTTGAATCATTGACTGAGCTTCCATCACCTGATGCAACAATGAGTAAAAAATCACTTGCTTCTGCAGAAGCATCACTCAGCAGAAAATCTCTTCCTGTTTCAGTACCTGAAGAAAAGATAATTACTAAAAACTTCTCAATTTGTATCATTGTTCATGGATCTCCAAAAGCAGGAAAAACTCATATTTCAAAGCTTTTGTCAAGACATTTCAACTTACCAATCATTAAATTGTCAAGCATTTGGGAAAGCACAGATAACAGAGAAGCTTTGTTACGGGAAATTATATCAATGCCAGAATTCTCCAAAGGATTCATTATCGATGGATTGGATGGAATTCCAGATGGAAAAGAAAGTGAATTATTTGTCACTCATAGCATGAAAATTAAAAATGTTATGGAAGATATGCAAAAGAACCCTTTCATGGATATCCAAAAGCCTGGAGAAACAACATCTTCTATTGAATGTTTAAATACTATTTTAGAGTCATTGAGCTGCCATTATGTTTTCTTAATTGGAGTTACATGTTCAGCTGATATTGCAATCAAAAGAATTGAAGAAGAAAACATGAAAGATTTCGAACAAAAAGCAGAGAAACTTCGCCAAGAAATGGAAAAGATTGCTTTGATGGATGAAGAAGAATACAATGCATTACCTGAAAGAGAAAAATTAAAAGTAGATCAGATGAGAAAGAAAGCTCGTGAGGATATTGTTGGTGTTGAAGAGAAAGCTGTTGAATGCGCAAGAAAATCAAGGTTGTCAAATAGAAGCCAACTAATCAAAACTAATCAATCAATAGATAAATCACAAGCAAATTCTAATAATAACAAAAATGTTAAAAAGAAATTGACTATCAACGAAGAAATTCAAGCAAAGATAAATCTATTCTTGCTTTCCTTTGGAGCATTAGCAAGAATGGTTCAAGAAAGGCGTCCAAATACAATTGTTATTGATCCACAAACTCTTCAATTACCAAATAAAGTCAAATTTGATGACCATCAAGAGAAAACTTGTTCAACACAGAAAAACTTAAACAGTTTATTCCTAACAATTACAGATCCAGAAGATGATGTTTACAGTGCATTATATTCATTCTTCCCGAGATGGAATGTTATGAGAGAAAAAATATTCCAAAAACTAATTCCAGATTCTCAAATCATTATTCCTGATGAAGCACTTTATACTCCACTGAACTTAGAACCAATTTTAGATTGTTTCCATTTACTTCCTGCTGATGAACATCAAGTTGAAGAACCAGAAAGATCTCCCTCTTCAATTTCAAAAGGGAGGAAATTCAGAACAAGTTCAACAATCATTAAAAGTCCGAATCGTCCTAAGATTATTCTAGAACAAAATTTGGATCCAGTTTACACACCAAGATGGTTAATTGAACCAAATTCGTCTGTTTCTTTAGCTGTCAGATTCATCAGCAAAGGAATTGGTAACTACAATGACTTCTTCAATTTCCAGATTGTTGGAGGAAATGGAAAGAACATTCAGTTACCAGTAACTGCTACATGTGTTATTCCAGAAATTGATAGATCTCCATCATCAATTTTCCAGAAAATTCAAAAGAAATTCTTCATGAAAACAGAGTTTTCTTATATTGAAACATTGAAAGAATATCACTTTGGATTTCAACTTGTAATGAAAGAAAAGACAAAGAATCAACCTCCTGCTTACAAGACACAGTTTCTAATAAAGAATGCAGGCATTATACCAGCAGAAATTACTTCTATTCTTTCTGACCAAGGAAAATCTCCATTCACTATTGAAAATGGAAATTGTACAATTAATCCTGGATATCAAACAAATATAACAATTGGATTTCATCCAATTACTGCAGAAAGATTTAGATCAACGCTTTCTATTTTCGTTAAAAATAATCCAGAACCATTAATCATTCCTATTGTTGGTGATGGTTGCATTCCTTCAATCGAATCTAATTTGACAACATTAGATTTCGGAAGAGTTGTTACTGATCATTCTTTAACCTTGCCAATAACCTTAAGAAATAGTGGAAAGACAGGAGCATATTGGAAATTAAAAGGTGTTCAGCAACTCGAAAGTTTCTTAACTTTCTCCTCGACTGATGGAATTATTCAGCCAATGCAATCTCTTGATATATCTGCAACTTTTTCATCAAAGAAATCTCAAATTATAAAGAAGCCGATCCAAATTGATATCATGGATAAAAACAAACTTAGAATGTATTCTACATTCCATATTCAAGTTCTTGCCGAAGCATTTGATATCAACTTCGATTTCATTTATCCAAAGGGAATTGATCATTTGAACTTTGGCACTTTACAGGTTGGTGAAAAGTCGGATTTGGTTTGTGTAATTAAGAATAGAGGAAAATATGCATCTATCTTCAATATCACACCCCAAAAGAGTGCAATGAAATACTTAAAAGCCAACATGTTAGAAGGTCAAATTACTGGTGGTGAAAAAGGTTCAAAACAAATCACTTTTTCATTCCTTTCTGAAGCTCCTGTTGAAATTAAAAATGCCGTTGTTGCTTATTTGAAAGTAATGGATACTGTAACAAATACTGCATTAGGAACTGTTCCAATTAGACTTTCGGCAGTTACAGCTTATTCAAAAATCAGATTAGATCCTCCAATACTTGACTTCGGTTTATGTGAACTCGGAGAAGTCAACTCAAAAACTGTTACAATTTATAATGATGGAAGTTTCCCATTTGAATTCACATTAGCTAGCAAAGACATTGCTGATACAAGGAATACTAATAAGAATAGGAAACAGAAGCCAAGACCTCAAAAATCGAAATCGAAACTGCAGACGATTCGTTTCTTTTTCGGAAACTTCGGATGTTCTCATGCAGAAGGAACAGTTCCTCCTGGCGGATCTCTTCAAATGGTTATAGAATATTCTTCAATGAATCCTGCTGAAGATGAAAGTGATTTAATCTTCAATGGAGCAAATCTTGATCCTACTTTAAACGGTGCTTTGCATTATACAATACGTGCGAAGACATCGCTTCCTTCCATAGAAACAGAACTATTTGATCAAATATTCCCTGATTTGCCACTTTGTCTAAGATATGATCTTGCCAGGAAAGACATTCTTTGCTTTGTGGAAGATGAGCAAACTCTTCATTTCAATCCAACAAATCTCAAATCTTCCAAAAGTGTTAAAGTTCGTCTGATCAACACATTAGAAATTCCAGCTGTGATTGATGCTGTTGTCAGACCAGTCAAGAAAGGAGATTCAAGTAAATTGCCTTTCTCTCTTTCTGAAAAACAATTCTCTCTACCTCCTCATGGTTACGATGAATTGGAACTCGTTTTTAATCCTGATAAAGTTGGAAAATACACTGCAATATTCGAAGCAATCCCTCATGCTAATGCTTCTAGAGATTCCACTTCTGGATTAACATTTAGAATAGAAGCAGAAGGAGCTCTTCCTCAAGTTTCTGTTGAAGGATTCCCAGAAAAATCAAAGAAATCATATTCATATTCTTTTGGAAGAACACTAGTTGGATTTACTCGAGAAAAAGGTGTTACTATTATAAACAATGGATTACTTCCAGCTAACATCCAAATCAATGCTCAAGCCTCTCCTGATTTCACTCTTCTTGGTGTGGAAACTAATTCTGTTCTTCTTCATCCAGGAAGAAGTATTTCTCCTAAGATGATTTTCTCTCCATCTAAAACAAAGAAATCAACATTTGATATCCAAGTTAAAGTTGAAGAGAATAGTAACTCTGATTTCACAATGAGTTTTGTTGGTGATGGTGTTGTAGAAGATATCATTTTCGATGGATTACAAAGTGATGATTCTTTGATTTTCAGAGACGCTGTTATTGGAAAGAAAGAGACACAGACTTTCATTATTAAAAACATTTCTTCTTCAGATTACAGATTCCAAATTGAAGAAATTCCGTCTCTCACTATTGTTCCGACTGCTGGACATATTCATAAGCATAATTCCAAACCAATTACTGTTACATTTAACGCTGATAGCCAAGTTAGATATAATGGACAGAAGATGACAGTTAAAGTTCAAGAAATTATCCTTCCAGAAAACTCTGAAGAATGGGATGATTCAATGAAAGTTGAACAGATTGTTATGCCTGTTGTACCTCCATCGCCAATTGGATCTTCCGATAGAGGAAGAGGAATTTCTTCTTCAAGAACTAAAAGAAAATTCCCAACTTTCCAAGGAATTCCATCATCTCCATCCAGAGCTAATTTCCCAACATTTAATCCTAGTGTCTCTCCATCAAGGATTTCAACGTCATCATCAAGATCAAGCATATCTTTACAAGGTCCACAAGTGCAATTAGTCACAAAAGAAGAGCCAATTTGCAGCATAACACAGAAGTCAAAAGATTTCATTATAAAAGTCACAGCAAGATCAGATAATATTCACTACAATATCGATACAGAAAGTATTGCATTTCCACCAACGATGATGTTTGAAAAGAGAGCAGAGTATGTCAACATTACGAATACTTGCTCAATCAAATTTGGTTTCAAATGGTTTGCAACTGTACCTGAAGAAATCAAAACAGCAGATGGAACACCTCCTTTCACTATAGAGCCATCTGAAGGTGTTATCGAACCAGGAACATCAACAAAGTTTGCAATTACTTACGCCCCAACAACAATTGGCAATTTCCAAAGCAAACTTGTTTGCGATGTTCCTTCTCTAAGTATACATGAAGATCCAACAGTGTTTGTTAGCGGATCTTCTAGAAGACCTGTATGTCATATTGTTTGTGATGCAAGCGATTACTTGTTAAGAAGACATCCTGATTATTCATATGATATCCCTCCTGGGACTCGTGTTCTTGAGATTTTCTCCAAAGGCGTCAATATTTCGAGTTCTAAAATTGTTGAAGTCATGAATACAATGGAAACAGCTTATGATGCTGTCTGGACACAGATGAATGAAACATATGATGAGAAGAGTATCACATGCGATCAAACAATCGCAATCATTTCAAGTGGTAAATCTCTTCGAACTTCATTTACTTATCGACCAACGAAAGCTCGAACCGTTGAAAGCCTTTGGAAACTATCAATTCCATCTACGAACACATACGCGTATATTCTTGTCGTAGGCAGGATTATGCCGCGATAATTATTTTTTTGTTTGTTTGTATTAAATTATAGATTTGTATTAATTGTCGTTTTTACCTCATTTTAGTTCATGTTCTCATTGGAACTGGCTCTGAAATGTTAGAAATCTAAGCAGAATTTGGAATTTTACACATTTCATATTAAATTTGTTGAGATTAATTATCAGTTTCTACGGTTCATATTAAATTTGTTGTAATTAATTATTACTACCATTTCAAAGAGTGTAAACCAATTCTTAAACGGAAATGTCACAAATTGACAATAGACAACCATCAAAAAAATGGTTCGACGAAATTTCTATGAAATCTTAATGAACTTTGATTCCTCTTTTCGTGGGAATTTGAACATTCTCCGAAATATTGAGTTTTAGCTTGGTATTCTTATTCATTTTCAAAATAATCCATTCAAATAAGATCAGCAATCATCTATTACGATTTTCTAAGGCATGACTAGCAAGAGTTTAACAATCCATGGATTCAAGTTTTAATTATCGAAAAAATTGATAATATATTCATTATTGACAATATTGAATACAAGAATTCTATTTACTCAATCATTAAAAGCATAGTTCCATGACTGCTATCATTGTATTATTGGATTTATATTTTATTTCATTTTTATTCAGATCCCTTTGTCCTTAACAAGTTAATTCGGAAATTTTATATCAACTAATCAGAAATACGCAATAAAATGTCCTAGAGGAGTGGGAAACGACACCAATATGTCCTATATCAAGATCTACTGATCCATTAGCGATTTCACTATATGTCCTCATTTTCTCATACGATGCAGGTATTGCACGAGGCCAAATAATTCCAAGGTTTTACTCTTTTTTTCACGTTATTATACTTCACCTAACTGTCATGATTAGTGGTCCGTGTGTACCACTTCTGTACTTGTGAAGGTATCGAAAAGAGTATAATAATGTATAGATGTTCGAAACATAATTTTTTTTGAGAAAAAAATAAGACTATGAAAATTTCTGATAATTCAATACTCCGAGATATTAGTCGAATTTAGTATTTCTTGTAATATTGAATTTGATTAACTTGGTTTTATTAATCCGTCAAAATTGAATGGTTCTCAATTCGATTTTGAGTTATGTAAAGTTAATGGTTAGAACACCATTAGATGATAATGGATCAAACTGTGCATCCAAACAAAATGTCATAAATTTGAGGATAAACGCTCAATTTTTTTAAAAAATTTGATGAGCTATTCTGACCTAAAACGGGCTGTAGACCTGATTACTTATTGGCTTTCGTTTTGTGGTCTGCTCATTTTCTGCTTTGTCCTACGTTTCCAATTCAAAACAACTGAAAAAAGGACTTGTTTTACAAAACATTACGATTTCTTTATCGACAAACTGCCGCCGCTTAAAGTATTTATGTATAATCTGACTCTACCGATGCAAGATTTAATCATGAAAAATAGATATATCGATTCTATAAAGCAAGGATTAGCACATACGACTATCTTCGAATACATCGCATTTAAATCACTTGAAAAATATGAAAATAGAGTAAGCGATCCAGAGCAAGCTGATTTATTTTATGTGCCTCTTTTCGCAGCTCTATTTAACGGATTAAAAGATTACGCTAATATTGATACAATAATCCTGCCTCAATTACGAGCCATTGGGCCTTACTTTGACAGATTCGATGGCATTGACCATGCGTTTATTCAAATGTTATTTTCTCAAAGCAATATTCCGTTAACAGTCGAGCATCAGAAGTCACTAGCGTCAATGATGACTCTTGGTGATGTCAATTACGAGTATTCTATAACTCATATGCGTGAATCTTGGAGAAATATTAATTTTCCACTTACTTCCAACATTCCGCAACAGTTCGATGTTAATTCCCACTCATCCCGTCACATATCTTCCTTCTTCATTGGGCAGCTGGAACTCTCTGGTTTCGATGACGCCGCGCCAATTCGTAAAGGAATGGCTGCAGCAATGAGAGATGTACCACACTCAATAGTTATAGATGCAAGAAGGTATGATAATGTCGCTGGCGTTTACAATTACAATTTTTCGAGAATGATGATAAATTCAAAATTCTGTTGCGTACCACATGGCGACGGTCCGACTACAAAGCGTCTCTTTGATACATTCCGCACACTTTGCATACCAATTGTTCTTAGTGACGAGATAAAATTCCCTTTTGAAGATCTCTTCATTAACTACACAAATATTTTGATACAGATTCCAGCTTACAAACCTCAACAGATTCCTCTTGCTATGAGCCTTCCAGATAAAGAAAGAATTATCACCATGAAAAAGAACATGGTTCGAATTTCCAGACTCTTAGAACAGAAGTTTGACTATAAAGTAACCAAAGGAGACCTAATGTGGGGATGGCTTTGGGTGCATTACTTTAAATTATCAACTGTTGCTGCTTCCAAGCGCAGGACACTACTTAAGTCTAGATATTTAGACTAAGTACAACCTTATATATTATATTATTTTGTTTGTATTTATATAGATGTTAATAAAATTTGTATGTATTCTTAATTTTTAAATTTATTAACTATCCAATCATACAAAGTATATCTAATCATTATAGAGTGAATTTTAGAAATGTTTTATAAAAAAATAAAATCATAATTTTCAACTTTTCATTTTTAAACATTAAAGCTTTACAAGACAGAAAAATCAAAAAGTAATAGCTCAGAAAATCATACATTTAAAAAGAAAAACTAAATACAATTTATTTCATAAAAATATTACTTACAATGAATATTGAAATTACTTAATATAGGATCCAAAGAACTCTATTCGTTGAAGACACATGTAATAACCATCAAAATGGTTTTTACCGGTCATTCTTAATCTAATATATCTATAATATCTATTTGCTACACATTCAAATGTTTCTCTTCCATTTACTTTGTTCAAGTCATTGTTATCTGTTCGAGTATCTAAGATATCCCATTCATCATCTTCTTTTAGCCCTTCTAGGACCCAGCTCTTCATATGGCTATATCCCTGTCCACAATTAAATGACTGCAAAGTATAATGCGTTGGTTTAATTTGATATTGTTTGAAATCAAATTTAAGCCATGGATTTTTTTCTTCTTCTGAGTACCAGTAGTCATGCATTTCAGGCATTATGACGTAATATGGCTGGTTATGCTCAGAAGAAGAAGCTGTAACATCAATAATTTGTTTTATCGAGGAATTTGAGGAGTTTTCCGGTGTTAAATCAGCTATTATGCCATGCAGAGGATCTTTCTTATCGTAATGTACATAAATTTCACTTGATTTCTGATCTCTTCCTTCAGGAGTGTTTAAAAGCCTTGAGCATAGAGATTTCCATATAGGACCAGTTATATCTTGTGGTTGAATCATCTTAAGGAAAATATTTAAATCAGATTGTGGAAGATATTCGTAATGAATGTAATTTAGAAGAATATGAGCAGTAGAATCATGTAATTTGATGACTCTAAGTATAAAATGGAATAATCCTGATTCATTGTTTATCTTTAGTTGTTCATTTGTAAGAATTTTTTCTAATATCGGGATATCTAATTTTTCTAATGATTCGATTGGAAAATTCCAAAAGTTTAGTGCAACGAATTTGATTTCTTCGTCTGCTTCAAGTAAATAGCGATTTTTGTTTGATAAAATTTGTAATGCGTTCTGAATTGAAAGTTTTTCACGTGATGATTGTAATTTTACTCCTTCGCTAAGTATTTCGTCGTTACCTAGCATGTTTCCAATCAATGTAAGATATTCTGCTTCGAGATTTGAAACTAATAAAGGTGTTCCGTTCTGTAAATCTATAATTTTTTGAAACTGAAATGATTCATCATTGATATTTATTTCAAATGTGTCGATGAAAGGGTCTGTTAAGCACATCTGTGCAATTTTTGGAGATAAAAATCCAGCAAAAAACCTATTTGTAACATATTGATGGCCACCAACAATGAATGCGAAGTCTTCATTTGCTTGCATCTTTAAAGCTCCGGCCAATCCTTTAGATGTTAAGGAAAAAGAATTCATTAGATGTGAAATATTTGACAAAAATGAAATTTCAGATCAAGCATAAATTCACTCAAAGCATATAGTACATAACTGAAAATTTACCTCAAATGGAATCAAATCAAAAAATAATTACATTAATTTATTAAAAACAATATTTTTAATAATAAAAAATACAAAATTATACTTAGTCGTGAAGAATAGAATAATAACAGATAAGATAAGTCTTGATCGTTTTCTCTATTCTCTAATATGTCTATATCAGTATTTTTTGTAACTGAGATCAGTTTATTTTCAACTGCCACTGCTACATTGCAAGTCTGAAAGCGTAATAAATTTTTGGAGATAATATTTAAAATACTTTACCAGGTAATGAAATATATGCAAATTGACTGTGAGATATAATAATTATAGTTGTATGCTGTACTATAGTAGTGATAATGAAGCTTCAATCTCAATATGGATTCAAAGGTAGCAACATCTTTTATGACGGGTCTCAAAATTTTTAAAAAGAAAACAAATGCAATTTGAATCTTTAAGAAAGCTTCAGAAACATATTTATTGCCATCTTCTCGCAGATGATGTCAATAATATTTCATTTAACGTCAAAAGAGATAAATTTTGCAGCGTTTTATCATTAATTGACGATCCAAATTTAACTCCATTTGCCAAATTCGAATCTAAATACAATTCAGAGAATACATCAATAATTGGTATTGTAGATACACATTTATCTGCATATGCTTCCATTAGTCAACAGCTAAAGAAAGGATTTCAAGTAGAAGTTGATGCATCAACAAGGAATTTCACTCCATCACTATTTATGAAACAACCAACATTTTATGATGACATGATTTCTATTGCAGGAATCATTAATTCAAATCCAATCTCTACAAAATTCGCGCTTGGTTTATCCAAATCCAATTCATTTCTTACCCTCTTTTCATTTAAATCAAATACATTTGAAGCAAAACTTAATTTCTCAGTTACCGAAAATAATGCAAAGCTAACTACTTCTGCTCTTCATCAAAGTGGCATAATGTGCAGCGTTTCTGCTGATATTGCTCAACTTACAGCTAGTCAGCTAGAAATTGGCCTCATAAAAGGCACTAAAAATAAAGGAATTTATTCCGTCGTTGATATCCTCAAAAAATCAATGACCATTGGCGGAACCACCCCATTCAAACTCGGTACAATGGGATTTATGGCTAGTGCAGACAAAAATCTAAAGCCAACCGTTCAAATTGGAATGAAATTGCCAAGGAAGGCTTCATTTACATGTTTCTGTTCCCAAGATGGCTTTGTTAGGATGAGGGCCGACTTCTCACCTCGTCCATGGCTTGATGTCCAACTTAGATCTCATGCTAACGCTCTTGATTCATTTAACCAAGTTGGATTTGGATATTCGCTTAAGTTCAACATTTAATCAATGTTGATGTTTATTATAGAGTTATGAATAAAAGATGTTTTATTTTCACACATTATTATTTTCGATTTTAATTAAATTACACAAATCGGCCAAATAATCCAAATGTTGTGAGAACTTTAGCAGAAACTTTCCCGATAAGATTGCGGAGCTAAGTTACATTGGCATATTCCCCGTAATATTGCATTCCATATTAAAAGAATGCATATTACTCTCTTGTCGCTCAATCGTCTGCATTCAGAATAAAGTGCATGTAAGAGATATGCAGCAAATAAATTATTCAAAGCTTATACAACAGTATGCAAATTCTCCCAAGGAATATAAGCAAAGATGATAAGTGAGTTAGTCCAGTCAATCAAGATCGTGCCAGCTTAGTCAATATTTCGTTCATAAGCGACCTTACCATTGTTCTGACTGATCAGAGAAGGAAAAATCACTGTGACTCTTAATTCCATCATTTTCTCAAGTTCTAAACTTATTCTCTCTTAATTCCAACTTAAACAAGATCAAAACAAGTTTTAGCGCAAACTCCCACATGTTACGTATCCCAAGCCCAAACAGGGCAATACTACTTCTTTGCTATTCCGTCGTTTTTGCAATACTAGTAAAAACCCTTTTATTTCGAGTGTCTAAAAATATGACTTTACCTTCATGACTTTAAGGGTGCCGAAAAGTGAAGTGAAAGCTATTATAAAAACCACACTTTTCAAACCCATAAAATCATTTTTATTTTGATTTCTTTATATGAGTATAAACCTTAAGTGATAATCTATCATACTGTTATATTTAAACTAAGTAAAATCGAAGTTTGTGAATATAAGGTTATCAAAAGCACACAAAAATCATACAAAATTTTTAAAATCTGGATGGGAAAAAATGCATTTATCTCAACATATGAGAATTGAAAATAAAATTTGTTCTGTAAAACTTTTAGTATAGCTATTGAAATTTTGTGTTTAATGTATCTCACTAGCTTAAACACAATATTGGAGGACTAGATACAAATCTAATTAAACTTTGAATGAGACCATTTCGACTGAAAACTACTACCATTGAGTTTCTTCCTTAATGGTAATTAGCAGAATCGTGTGAGATGGTAGTGCAATCGGTCTTAGTTTTGAAGTTACCCACTAATTGCATCTCGACACTTTTTAACAAGTGCCAAATGTTTTCTGTAAAATATCTAGTATCTTGTACCTAGATATCATTCTTGGAGTATCAGCCCCTGCCATGAAAAAAACAGGGACTAGATAGGTCCGCAAGTTCGAAAATTGCGAAACAGTTTTCTTCATACTGGAAGTATCCAAGAACTCAATATCATAGAAATAAAAACCTTAGTATATACCCTACCAATATATGTTTCAATATCATTAATATCTTTGCTACAAATGAAGTTATCAGCAATACTCGAAATCGCGTCACCTCACTTTCCAGCACCCTTAAGGTTATTATTAATCAAAAATTTAAAATGGATATCACAGAGCTCATAAGTGAAAGCAGCGAAGTCACAAATCTAAGTCCAGAAAATTCAGATTTGAAGAAAGGGGCAAATGTTCATTTATTATTTCATCGCGAGACGGGGATTTTATTGACAAGGAAAAATGTTGCGATCTGCAATTGGTCACAGCAAACGAACAGAATGAATTTGAGATTTCCTTCCATCATTCAGTTATACCATATTGAGAAAATTGATAATGAACTTGACTTTTTTCAAGAATTCTTTCCTTATGGCGATTTAACGAAATTTGAGGAATACAATTACATTGGAGAAAATATCATAGCTCAATTTTTCTATCAATGCGCACGTGGTTTGCAATATCTTCACAATCAAGGATATATTCACCGTGATATCAAACCACCTAACATTTTCATTGATAAAAATAAAAATGCTTCATTAGAAGATCTAGAAAATTCTACCAACGATCCTGATTCTCAATCAGCATATGGCAATGGCACATATGCTGCTCCAGAAATTTATAAGGAAGGACAAAATACTAAAAAATCCGATATTTATTCAATTGGTGCCACATTCGAAGAATATATTCTTAAGATTCAAGGGGATGACGACTTCAAAAACGATTTACTTGACATAGTTTCTCAGACAAAAGCTGAAGAACCTGATAATAGAATATCCGCAGATGATCTTGTTAGCCAGCTTGAAGAATTACTTAAGAAAAATGAAATGGATAGCATTATAAATGAATTTGAGAGTCGGATCGAGCCCTGTAAAAATAGCTACACATTCTATAGACTTGATGATATTGATGGTGTAGAATATGAAGATAACAAGTATATTGAAGAAATCGTTAATCTAGTTAAAAATTAAGTTTAATTAAAGAACAACAAAAATATTCCAGCATATGATAAAGCTTTAGAAACCAATTATCCGACATTTCTGACTAATTATCCAAATGCATTGATGGTGTAGAATATGAAGAATATGAAGAAGAAGAAGAATTAACTGAATCATATAAATTTAAGTCTAAAATCATCATATCAAAATGGTGGATTTGAATATATGCAATCACGAAATTTCAATCACTCTAATGGATTTTGTATAATCATTCATAAATTTTATGAGATTGTTTTATTTAATTTTTCTTGAAATCGTAAACGCCTCAATTTAGTTATTTTATTGGAATAATCATTAACAGAGGATATAAATTTCTTAGAAATGATATCAAAAGGCAATTTTTACGACAAATGTTGTTTCGAAAAAATTTAATCGAGTCATTCAAGAATTAAATTTATGTAGTATAAGTATAGAAGATTTAATAAATAAAAATCTCAAAAAGGATTTATGCCCAAATTTACAACAAAAATAATTTTATTAAGTTTCTCTATATATTTTTCATCTACAGTGTTTCCTGAAGAGAAATATTTTAATTTCATGGGGAATTTATGAAATTGCTTGGTCGGTAAAATTCCATTTTAAATTGAAAAGAACCGAAATCAAAATTTTTGTGAATTGAAATAATGTAAAAAATTGAAATATTCATCTTAAAAATTTATGTGGAAGTTATTATACACTTATGAAATATAATTTTAATGTCAATAATGTAAATTTTTTGTATGTTAATTTTTTTGAATATTAAAGCTAAATAATTTTATTATAGTAATTATACTAAAATTTATGAATATTTTTATGAAATCGGTTTTAAAAGGTTCACAAAATCAATATTGCTTATTTATCAATTTAAATTGAATATTGAAAAATAATTATATAAAAACTATATTCTAATTAACAAAGTAACACTAATTTCTATACATGGCACGATGGGCGCTACTTTTTTGGCGCCGGCGGCGCCGCCCGCGCCTCCGGTGGCTCCCACTGGTGGGGAGGAGACGATAGAAAAAGATATAAATTTTACTAAAAAAATTGAATTTTGGAAATTCTTTTGATTTTTTTGAATGATTTACGAAGAGATTGAACACATTTTGTACTATGAAATATCGTTATTAATAAATTTACTTCTTAAACATCTATTAAAATCGCAATTTTGAATATTTTTATGATTTTTTTTGACCCGATCACTTGCGCCCGCGCCCACTGGGAGGGGCGCTTGTAAAGTATTCAAAAATCAATGTAAACATTTCAATTTTTGCTCCCACCTCCCATTGGGAGGGGGGCATATATCTTGTAGCGTTCAAGTTCAAGTGATGAAAGTGCATAAGAAAGCTCCTTAATCATACCGATAGAAACAGCATTAGGGGCGCCAAATGGCGCTCGGTGATGTTTCCCATAAAAGCTTAATTTCAGGTATCCATAATCATAACCTGTCAGACGCAATAATTCATTAGCACACAATCATCGTTTCTCAATCAAGAAACGAAACGCACGATTGATTATGCTGGCCATTAAATTTTCATATCAAATAATTTACTACTTCAAGAAAAATTAAAGACTATCATCAACCAAAGCTTAAAATTCTCAGTGTTTGCAACTCTCATACTTCGAATATGCATATTTCCAAAATAGCATGAAAATTTTTTTCATTTGAGCTCATTTTCTTTTGTTCTATTAACTAATACATGCAGTACAAGCTTGTTATACGTATACTTAATAAGTAAGGTCTTAAGGGAAATAATAAAAAACAATTTTGCTATTAATTATATTAAACAATATTTATTTGTAATTTCGTGATAATTATATTTCTTATTACAAAGTAAAGGTATTTGATATAATGTTTGCCTTACAAAAATGTTTCCTTTGTCTTGCCACCATAGGTATTCTATTTTGTCACTTTTTGCGCCCACCGTGCCATGTATACTAATTTCCTAAAAACACTTTGAACAAAATCAGATTCTGAGAGATTTGGAGTGTTCTCAAATTATAACGAACTTTTTAAAGATCTAACATATTTTGCCTAATGCATTATATTATTAATTAAAATATTAATTTGAAATGAATCATTGATTCTGAAATTCTGAATAAAAAGTAGTAGGATAGGAAGGGTTGTGTGACTTTTTTTGTTGCATCTATATATAGACGATACATTAAAATATTTATATACTAAACACATTTTAAAAAATTAACATTAATTTTAAAATAATTTATTTTTTATCTTTTATAAAAGAAGCTATATATAGATGATGTCAGATATTCCGCGATTAATTAAACATTGTTTAAATCCTGAATGGAATCAATGGAGTCATAATCAAAGACCTCATAAACGAGTAAAAGAAATTAGAAATAATTATTTTCATGAGTAAAAGATTCACTACCATAATGAAATAAAAAATAAAAAAATAAACTTTAAAAATTCATGTCTCACATTTTTGAATAATTTATTTTTTATTTTGTATGAAATGAGCGTCAAAACTAACGACGTGAAAACATTAGGATTCACAAACGAGGAAATAAAGGATATATTAGATGAGATGTGTTATGAAGTTAGTAAATATTATTTAAGAAATTGTCAAAAATTTGCCGAGTTATTAAATGATTTAGATTATGATGGAAAAATGAATAAAGATGATGTTATAAATTTCTTATATCCCACATCTGAAGAAGAAAAACCTAAAGAACCTGATGTTTTCCCTGAATATTATGAAGAACGGATTAAAGATGATGATGAATACAATGAAATTGAAAAACTGGAAAAAATAAGAGATGAAATAGATGAAAAAATTAAGGAATTAAGAGAAGTTGAAAAATATAATGAAAATGAAGTAGAGGGTTTAATGAATATCCCAGCTTCAGAATCAGCAGTTCAGAAATCTCATGAAGAAAGATATAAAAATTATGTCTCAGAATCAACACAAAATTTATTAGATGGCGAAATAGATGAAACACTTTCAGAAGAAGGTACTAAATTTATTCGTAAACATAAGTTACAATTTATTGATAATGAAAAATACCCTTGTATCTTACTTTCACCCCCTCTCGATTCTGAGAAATTCAAAAAAGCTCTTAAAAACGTGACATATGCAACTAATACGATTAAGAAAGAAGATCATGATATTTACACAAATTATTATTTAAATAAATGCACAGGTGTTGATAAAGTTTTTGATTTATTAGATAAAATATCAAAAGAAACCATTGGAACCTATAAAATTTTGTGTGATTGTGGTTTCATTATTGAAGATACCAATAATGTTTCATATGAAAGAACAGCACCGAAGGAAGACGAAGTGGAAAGGTCTATACCATTCGTTATTAAGAATATAAAAGATATGAAAACTTATAAACATTATATTTATTCATTTATTTCAGAAAAAATGGAAGCAACCCATAAAACATCTTCTCATCATTTTATAGCTATTCATACATTCCTTTTCAAAGTTGTGAAATTAAATAAGACAGGAATTAGATTTAATGTATCAGGGTACGCATTCTTGAGTAAATTAAAATGTATTCGTCACGTCGCAGATGATAAAAATTTATGTGTTCTTAATTCATTTTATGGACTTTAAAAAATAAACTTTATTTTTATTTTTTAATTTTTTATTCTTACATAAATGAACAAAAACGGAACAGCTAAAATGAATGATAATCAAATTAGAGCAGAAGGTAGAAGGTTATTTAAACGCTTCTATAACATTCCTGATGGTGTTAATCCTAAAACTCGTAGAAGCTATTTAAATGAAGTAATAGATGCATATGAAGGGTTTGACATTTCATCAGAAAGTGAGAGATTAGCGAGAATGTTAAATGTTAATATTGATTTCTATTATTGTGATCCTCAACCAGAAGACGTGGACATAAATAAGGTAGACTTTCCATTAGTGGATTCAATAATGATAGATCCAGAATTTGAAACAATAAATATTTTATTAACACAGAGTCCATGTGGAAAACTTCACGCTGACAGAATAACAGACGTTAAAGCACTCACCGGCTATAGAGTTTGTCCATATTGTAAAGAAGAAGTTTATTCTATCCGTGATGATCCAGAAAGGAAAAACCAAAGAAGATTTTTAAAGCATTGTGAGAAATGTAAAGAAAATAATGGAAGATTAATTCAAGACGTTCAGTTGCAAAAGACACAGCAACCATATGCACCACATATTACGAAACAGAAGATATATCAGTGGTTATTAGCTCATAATTTGCAGGAATATTATCAACCGACAAGATATTATATTACTTTTGACTTCGAAACATTAGAGACTAAAGAAGAATTACAACTTTCTGAGTGTGCAACTTTGAATGCTTACTTAAAACCATTCATGGTATCATCAACGGTTAAATTAAATGATAAAACATATACGAGGAATTTTTGCTTAACTTCGAGTGATTCTTTTATTTCTGATTGGATTGAGTTTTTATTTTCAACCTGTTCATTAGTTGCTAAATCAAATATGAGTCAATATGAAGAATTAATGAAGTCGCAAACGGACCAAACGGCGGGGACTCTGTCCCATACATTAAATGAAAAACAGAAGGAAGCATTTAAAGAACTTCTAGATGAGGAATTCAATAAAGTGAATATCATAGGTTTTAATTCGGGAAAGTTTGATTTAAATTTAATTCTTCGTGATTTAAACACTGCAAAATGGAAAATAAAATCAATGCTAGGTTCATCTTCACAATTTAAGCAAGTCATTGTAAAGAAAACAAACGTTCCATATGAATTGAGATTTATTGACATCAGAAATTATATAGCGGGTGGGACATTAGATCAATTCACTCAAGATTTCGGAAACAATAAATCACGTGTTAAATCCTTTTTCCCTTATCAATTTATCACGTGGGAAAATTACGAAGAAGAATTATATAAAGTGGAACCATTCACGAAAGATTCATTTTATTCAGCATTAACTCAAGAAACTATATCAGATAGTGATTATCAAATATATCTCAATGATGCTAAAAACTTTAAGAATAGATTAGAATATTTTATTCATTATTGCAATAAAGATGTTGAAATTATGATTGATCCAATTGATAAAATTATTGAAGAAACATTTGTTTATAAAATTGATATGCTTCATAATCTTTCTTTATCATCGAATGCTTCAATGATTCGTTACGCTTTAGCATATAAAGACTTTAATCCTAATGAAAAATATCCTGAGGAAAAGATAGAATCAAGTTTTGAATTAACGAAAAAGTATTGGAAATATAAAATTGAATCATATAAGAAACAAGATGAAAAAGCAGAAAGGAATACTAAAAATAATGTTTCAATGGATGATTTTCAATACTATCACGATTTAATCCTTTCATCTAAATGCAAAATGTGTGGTAAAGCGTTTACATATGCAAATAAACCAACATTGGATAGAATCGATAATGAAAAACCACATACCAAAGAAAATTGTCAGTTAATGTGTTGTTATTGCAATGTCGTAAAATCAAATAAAGATGAAGATGTTCAACGTTTAAGAATCAATTTAAGAAATTATGCATTAAAAAATAATTTACCAATGACTTTAGATTCAGTTGAAGCTTATCACATTCTCCGTAATGGAATTACTGGTGGTTTATCAAATGTTCAACATCGTGTTAATCTTAAAGGAATCACGCACATTAATAAACTTTCATATAATCCAGAAACTAAAACTGTATCAAATGAGGACACCACCAACATCATGACTCATTTCGTTGGTGTTGACTTTAATTCATTATATCCTTCATCATTTTCATCTAATCCTCATGATTTCATTCAATATACTGACCATAAAATGTATATGCCGGGAAGATTGAATGGTGTTATCATTTGTGATACAGCAACAAAGAAAGCAAAAGCACTGGGAATAATTAAGAAGAAAAATACTTTATTCGTGGCTGAAGTAAAGGGTCACATTGATGAAAAATACATTAATGATTACATAAACTTTTTACCGATAATAAGAAACTTAGATATTATCACAGATGAAAAAACAATTGGCAGTTTTATGTATAATTACATGAAATCAAACAATCTACCAGTTGACCAGAAACAGAGGAAATTAACTCAGTTAGCATCAACACACAACCAATATCAACCATTTTCTTCTTATTATCTTTGGTATCTAATAGACAGATTTCATTTTATCATCGATGACATTCAATCAATTTTAACATTTACGAAAAACACTTGCTTTAATGAATTTGCGAACGAATTTATGAACGAAAGACAAAAGGCTGAATTAGAAGGAAATAAAGGAAAAAGTTTATTTTGCAAGATTTCGCTTAATGGATCATATGGTTACGATGCAATGAATACACAAAATTACGCAAAGACTAAAATAATGAATGCACAGAAGGCACGCGTTGCATGTATGTCAAATAAGTTTAAAAACATAAGAGAAATAGGTGAAGATACATATCAAGTGATGCTTAAAGATAGATTTTATAGATGTGATACATGTTTACAAGAGGCATTCTTCACTTTAGATAACGCAAAATACTGGTATTTGGTTTTCATTTATGATTTTATGTATAAATGCATGGATGTTAATCGTTTTCATTTCATTGAAGGTGATACTGATTCATCTTATTGGGCAATCGCTGGCGACCCAAATCTTCCTAACACTCAAGCATTTCAAGCAATTGTTACCGATAAACAATTTTATGATAAAAACATTTTCAAATTCGCACCATTTGATTTCTTCTGTTTTGATGAGAAATTTAAACCTAAATTAAAGAATAAAGCTGAAGAAAAAGCACATGAGAAAAAATTATTGGGTTTAGCAATTGAGAAACAAGGTGATAACATGGTTGCTTTATGTCCTAAGTGTTATACATCATTCAACAGTTCAATTGATGGAAGTGATTTTAAAAAGATTGCACAAAAAATGAAGGGTGTTAGTTTAAGACAAAATAAGCAATTAACACCTAAAAAATATTTGGATATAATAAATGATAAAGTTATTTTCGATGGTCAGAATATTAATTTACAACTTAAAAACGGGGCAATGACTCGCTTAACAATCGGTAAGACTGCATTAACAGGAGCACACACTAAGGCTGTATGTTGTGAAAATGGATGTTGTAATGCCATTTATTTAATACAATTTAAAAACGTAGGGGTTGAGTCATGAATTTTAAAATTTTATTTTTAATGAAATGCCACAGAAGAGACAAAAGGAACCGTTAATGATGGTTTTGATACTATGATTCAAAGAGGTGGGCACCCTTAAAACACTTATTTTATTTTTATATAAATGAATAGCGCAGATTTAAAAAATTTAATTTATGATTTAGTACTTAATCAAAATTTTCTTAGTTATTATGAATTAAAATCATATCTCCAAAAATATAATAATAATATAACGGGTGATGATATGGAATATTATTATCCATATTATAAAAATGAAATTTTGAAATATCATGATAGAATAATTTCTAAAATTAAAGACAAAATTAAAAATAATGAATATTCAAAGGGAAAAAATAAATCACAACTTAAACAGTTGAAAGATTTCAAAATAAAGTAATTAACAGAAGAAGATATTGATGAATTATATAAATTATATAATCCTGAGCCGCAAAAGCCAAAGGAACAAAACACAAAAGGTGCAAAACGCCCAGGTCCTTCAGACCATAAATGAAGCACAAGCTTTAATTTATGATTCATTAGTTAAACCATATTCAGCCCGACTTTTAAATGAAGATCAACTTTTGGAATTCATCCTTCAACATAAACTCGAAGCGGGAAAGTATATCAAACCTTTATATACAGCATATTTAAAACAAATGATAGAATACATCCAGAATTAATGAAGGAAGGAATGAAGGAAGGAATGAAATCCAAAATCAAAGCAGATAAAATTAAACCACTTGCAACACCAAACCTCCAACGACAGTACCGCTCCTCCTTCAGTTAATCCTTCATCATTCACTTTATTATATCCATTTCAAACATTAAAGAAGCAAAAAGATTTTAAAAGGATTTCAAAATATTAAATAAACCAATTGACCCAAAATTCAACCGTTAAAGGAAAAAATTTAGTCGCCCTTCATTTGCTCCATATCCATATTCATACGAAATCGATCATCTGGAATATTCAAAAGGAAAAGTTACTTATTTATTTGCCATTAACATTAACACTAGATATTTATATTGCATTCCAGTGAAAGGGAAAACGAACAGGAAACAAGAAGAGCTATACAATACTTACTAGATCATGAAAGAAGATAATATTAAGGGGTGATGGCGATAAAGGATTTCAGGCAACTATGACTCATTATTTCCACAAATTAATTTTTACTTCTCATCTTCTCCATATACGTTTCATAATAAAATAGTTGATGCGGTAATGAGAACTCTTAGAGATGCGTTAGGGGTTAACGGTCAGATATACTGGGATGGAAATCATGACTCCATCATACAACAGTTAGTATATTATTACAATAATACATGGCATAGAACTATAAACATGAAACCAGTGGAAATGAAAAATGATATTTCAAAAGAATGGGAATATATTAGAAAGCAAATGGAAAGGTTGAATGATGTTAAACGTGAACAAATTAATTCGGGGCTCATGAATTTTAAACAAGGGGATAAAGTTTTGATTCATCTCGATTATGGAAAAACTAATAAATCAATGACAAAAAGAAGACGAAGATTTGACACAATAGCTGAATTTGTTAGATATATTAACGGCAATGCATTTGTTGAAGTTGACAATAAATTAATAGAAATTCCGATTTATTTTATTACTCCATTATATTTAAATAATATTTAATTTTTTTATTTCGTAAGAAATGAGTGACAACAAAGCAGTCAAGAGTCCAGACAATGAATATAAAAAGAAACTAAACAGAATTAAATCAAAAATATGCTATTACAAAAAGAAGCCACAATGCGGTGGGGTTGATGCCCATAAAACTAAAGTAATTGAAAACGATAAAGAGAAGAAGGAAATAATCGAAAAATTAGAAACTTACCGTTCAATCCTTAAACTGAGTGAAGCAAAAATAAAAGAATTTAATAGAATAAATAAATTGGTTGGAAGAGATGAATTTAATAAAGATGAATTTTTAAACTCAATCCAAATTTAATTTTTTCAGTGTTACCATGTTACCATGTGCTACCAGGTAAATTAACTTCTCTGAAAAAATGAGACAACATGACATTTTGACAACATAGGAAATATGATGCAGTCCAAAAATAACGTTAGTTTTATTTTTTCAACTTTTTATTTTGTATGTAAGAACAGAAATGTCAGTCGAAGCAAAAACATTCACGAACAAATCTAATGGTGAAACATTCACAAAAGGCACTTATAATGGTATTGAAGTCTTACGTAGAGACAAGGATGGTTACATTAATGCAACAAATATGTGCCAACAGTTTAGGAAAGACTTTAGAAAGTTGTTGGAAAATAAGTCCTGGGAAGAGTATTATAAGGCATTTTGTGAAGAATATAGCAACCGCCGGAATTCAGACGGTTGCTTTTTATACAAAATTCATGCAGGAATTCCTGATGAAATCAAACAGGTTAGAGGAACGTATGTAGACCCAAGACTTATAAACTATATAGCAATGTGGGCTTCTCCAAAATATTGCATAGCAGTTGGAAAAATTATGGACTCCATAGACAAGAAAGTTCATGAGAAATTAGATGAAGAAGAACTCGAAGATACAGTAGAGAATGCAAAACATTTGTTTGAAGAAGAAGTTAGAAAAATGTGCAAAAAACAATTAGAACATGAACGTGAGATATATTATGGTTATAGAGATTCTCCATACGAACTAGACCAATGGGAACAAGAAGATTTAAAGAGAGAATTTAGAGAATATGAACTCGCTAAGATAGCATTAGAAACTGCAGAAAAGAAGTTAAAAGTTTGGGGTCGTTTTGTAAAAAAATATTGTGAGTAAATGAACCATTTATTTTTGTCATAAACGACCAAAAATATATTTTATCGTTAATGGTTTCAGGTTATTCAATAATTAATTATTTTTGAAGAACTGAAGGTGTTACCATGTTACCATGTGCTACCAGGTTAATTAACTTCTCTGAAAAAATGAGACAACATGACATTTTGACAACAACATAGGAGGAAGGCACTTATGAATTATTTTTGAAGAACTGAAGGTGCTACCATGTTACCATGTGCTACCAGGTTAATTAACTTCTCTGAAAAAATGAGACAACATGACATTTTGACAACAACATAGGAGGAAGGCACTTATGAATTATTTTTGAAGAACTGAAGGTGTTACCATGTTACCATGTGCTACCAGGTTAATTAACTTCTCTGAAAAAATGAGACAACATGACATTTTGACAACAACATAGGAGGAAGGCACTTATGAATTATTTTTGAAGAACTGAAGGTGTTACCATGTTACCATGTGCTACCAGGTTAATTAACTTCTCTGAAAAAATGAGACAACATGACATTTTGACAACAACATAGGAGGAAGGCATTTATGAATTATTTTTGAAGAACTGAAGGTGCTACCATGTTACCATGTGCTACCAGGTTAATTAACTTCTCTGAAAAAATGAGACAACATGACATTTTGACAACAACATAGGAGGAAGGCACTTATGAATTATTTTTGAAGAACTGAAGGTGCTACCATGTTACCATGTGCTACCAGGTTAATTAACTTCTCTGAAAAAATGAGACAACATGACATTTTGACAACAACATAGGAGGAAGGCATTTATGAATTATTTTTGAAGAACTGAAGGTGCTACCATGTTACCATGTGCTACCAGGTTAATTAACTTCTCTGAAAAAATGAGACAACATGACATTTTGACAACAACATAGGAGGAAGGCACTTATGAATTATTTTTGAAGAACTGAAGGTGCTACCATGTTACCATGTGCTACCAGGTTAATTAACTTCTCTGAAAAAATGAGACAACATGACATTTTGACAACAACACAGGAGGAAGGCATTTATGAATTATTTTTGAAGAACTGAAGGTGCTACCATGTTACCATGTGCTACCAGGTTAATTAACTTCTCTGAAAAAATGAGACAACATGACATTTTGACAACAACATAGGAGGAAGGCATTTATGAATTATTTTTGAAGAACTGAAGGTGCTACCATGTTACCATGTGCTACCAGGTTAATTAACTTCTCTGAAAAAATGAGACAACATGACATTTTGACAACAACATAGGAGGAAGGCACTTATGAATTATTTTTGAAGAACTGAAGGTGCTACCATGTTACCATGTGCTACCAGGTTAATTAACTTCTCTGAAAAAATGAGACAACATGACATTTTGACAACAACATAGGAAATATGATGCAGTCCAAAAATAAAGTTAGTTTTAAAATTATTTTTATTTTTTTATTCCTATATAAATGACAGCAACAAACAACAACAGCAACTTTATCATTTCTGATGAAAAAGTTATTGATTCATTAGCTGAGGAATTAGTTGTGGCAGAAACTAAAACCCTCAACGAAAGAATTGGTGAAAACAAGATTGATTTACATAACTACCTCAAACATGATGGAGGAAGAGGAAGGAAAACTGGTATGGCTTTATTAGTAAATAAAATATCAAATTTAACGATTATAGATATTGATATCAATAAATCGTACAATGATGAACTTAAAGAAACAGTTAGAAAAGACATTTTATCAAAACTTTCGGATAAAGATGTTATCGTTAAAACCGCTTCAGGAGGTCTTCACATTTATTGCAACACTAATTTCTTCTATGCAGTTTCGAACAGAATGATTAAATGTTATTCTTGCAATGATTATGATATTGATATAATGACTTCAATGGATGATTCAAAGCGTTCTTTAGTAGTTATGGCTGATTCAAGAGTTCGCAAGAATGCATCAGAACCAATCAATACATACTCATTCATTCGTGGAAGTTATGATTCAACATTAACCAGAACAGTGAATGATATATTAAATGATTTGAATATTAAGGTAAGAGTTGAACAGAAGAACGAAGAAATAAAGACTATCATGAATGAAAACAAAGATGTAAACATTGACGATAAACTTGCCCAGAGCATAGTTGATGGCATCAGTGATTTTGAAGTACATAATGACGGTGGAAACATGAATTTAGAAAAAGAAGTTACATTATTCACACTGTTTCAAGCTATTAATTCGTTACCGGATCATTTGATTAATGAAGCATACGATAACGTTTATAACTTCTGCAGTTTAACTGAAAATGCAAAAAGTAATTTTGAAAAAGCACGTAGTAGATATGCACATTTAATGACTTCTCCATTTGTTTTAGTGAAGATTCTAAAACTTTATCAAAAGGAATATTATGATGAATATGTTTTACCTTTATTACGTAAGCCAAAAATAACATTTGATATAAAACTTGATGACTCGTTTTTGATAACAGATATTAGACGCAAGGCTGAAAATCATCAGTATAAAAACAGTTCTGAAGTCATTGAGGATTTATCGCGTGTAATTCGTTTTGTAGATTGTGGAAACAAATATTTCATTCAGAAAGATTACAACATACACGATAAAATGAATCAAATATCATTCGTTCTTCAGTCAAACATGAAAGAGTCACTCAAAATGATTAAATTATTTAAAGAAGAAGGTAAAACCATAACAGCATGGGACGTACTATTAAATCAATTGTCTTCATTAACCGTTAAGGGTGTTTGCTTTAAATCTGATTCCCCAGATGTTTTCTCAACGTTTCAGGGTTATAAATACAACATTCTCGAAAAGCTTGATTACTCAAAAATTGAGATGTTTATGAATTTCATTAAAGAAGCCATTTGTGATAATAACGATGAAGTGTATAAATACCTTCTCAGCTGGATTGCATCAATGATTCAACATCCTGGAATCAAGAATGAAACAGCAATTATTTTGAAAGGACTTCAGGGAACAGGTAAAAACAGATTTACAGACATTATTTCTGAACTTCTCGCTGGTTATTCATGTAAAAACATTACTGAAATAAGTGCGCTAACGGGTAATTTCAATTCAGTAGTTGAGAGTAAAATGTTTCTTGTACTTAATGAACTCAAGAATGTAGGTGAAGACAGACTCGCAAACTTCAACGCTTTGAAATCAATTATTACGGATAATGAGATTAGAATTAATGAAAAGAATCAACCCAGAAGAACTGCTCAGAACGTTGCAAACTTCATTTTCGTAACTAATAACGTTTACCCTGTCAAAATTGAAGTTGGAGACAGAAGATACGTAGTTTTAAGAGTTAATGGTAAATTCAAGGGTCAATTTGATTACTTCAAGAATTTGATGAATTCATGCACTAAGGAATTTTATGATAATTTACTGACGTATTTTATGCAATATGACCTTTCATCATTTAATGTACGAATCATACCGATGACTGAAGCCAAACAAGATTTAATAGAATTATCAACAAATCCTTTAGATGTATGGATAAATACACATTATGATGAATTGTGTGCAGGTATGACGTGTGAAAATGCTCTATTCTGCAAACCATCAGACATGAAAGACAAGAATTTCCAAATGAGTATTAAGGATAAATGTGATAGGAAACATAGAAGAATAGACGGTAAACAAACATGGTGTTATGTTTTGAAAGAAGAAATGAAAGGATTATATAAACAGGTTGAACCAAACGATAATGAGGATTCATTTACTGATGATGAAATACCTGTAAATGAGGCAGTATAAAGTATGATTGGAATTTATTTTTGCATTAATCCTGCTGTGTTGTCAAAATGTCATGTTGTCTCATTTTTTCAGAGAAGTTAATTAACCTGGTAGCACATGGTAACATGGTAACACCTTCAGTTCTTCAAAAATAATTAATTATTGAATAACCTGAAACCATGAGACTTTGTCTCCGGACTCTTTGAGTCACTTAACGTAAACATATACGATGAAACCATTAACGTAAACATTTATTTCCCCGACTGTTGTCAAAATGTCATGTTGTCTCATTTTTTCAGAGAAGTTAATTAACCTGGTAGCACATGGTAACATGGTAGCACCTTCAGTTCTTCAAAAATAATTCATAAGTGCCTTCCTCCTATGTTGTTGTCAAAATGTCATGTTGTCTCATTTTTTCAGAGAAGTTAATTAACCTGGTAGCACATGGTAACATGGTAACACCTTCAGTTCTTCAAAAATAATTCATAAGTGCCTTCCTCCTATGTTGTTGTCAAAATGTCATGTTGTCTCATTTTTTCAGAGAAGTTAAATAACCTGGTAGCACATGGTAACATGGTAGCACCTTCAGTTCTTCAAAAATAATTCATAAATGCCTTCCTCCTGTGTTGTTGTCAAAATGTCATGTTGTCTCATTTTTTCAGAGAAGTTAATTAACCTGGTAGCACATGGTAACATGGTAGCACCTTCAGTTCTTCAAAAATAATTAATTATTGAATAACCTGAAACCATGAGACTTTGTCTCCGGACTCTTTGAGTCACTTAACGTAAACATTAACGTAAACATTATTTCTGCAGTTCATCCATTACTTCATTACCTAATTAATTACAGACATAAAATATATTTAGTTCATTCAGTAAGCCTTGACCCAAAGGTCTGGGCTCAAGCACATTCAATGAACGCGGTACCATGCGAATACAGTCACAAATGGTGGCATATAATCTTTACCTGAGCCTGTTGGATTTGTTGTGAAAGTGTGTGAATGATTTCCTGAGGTTCCACAGAAAATACCTGTGCTTGAATCTACTGGGTCAGTTGTGATATCATATCTATTCATTCCCCATCTATCCGAACCTGCTGCAAGATTTGTATAACCTCTTTTTGTTATTGAATGTGAATGATTACCTGTTGTGTTTGTCGTTCCTGTATGAGTGTGCGGTGGAAGGTTTGCTTCTTTAATTTTCTTCGAACCTCCTGTTTGCTTTGAATATCTAGCACAGTATAAGAATTTATCTACAATCTGCTTCCACATACCAAAACCTAAAACTGTTGATGGATTTGTTGAGTTCATTGACGTATAAATAGAACCAACAGGATATAATGTTTGAAGTATTTCATTTTTCATGCTTGTAATCACATCATTTACTTCCGACTTCTTTGCATAATTTTCATCAACATATGTTTTTATCTGCTTTAAGGTCTAAACATCCTGAAACCCATTCTGTATCGGCTTTAACTTTAAAAGTCTCAAATGTCCATTCATGATACCATTCAATCTTTTCTTTAATTTCATTATCTTTTTCATCAACATAAACCAAATTTGCCTTCTTATTTAACTCACTATCCACATATTCCTTATCCACCTTCTTCATTATGTCATTTAGGAAAGGACTTTCTATGAATTCCTCATTTAAATTAAATCTTCCAATCTTCAAAACTTTAGGAAATGCATTTAATGCGTAATATCTCTGTTCTTCTGGTGGAATTGATGTTATATCATCCGTTATTCCTTTAATTTTTGAATTCATAAATAAAATTTCTTTTATATTTGATATCACTGCACCACCTTTGCAAACGAATTCGAAACGGTTATTTTTCAATACTATCTCCAAATCTCCATATTTCAACCTTTGCGTTTGTTCTGCCGTCTTTGAATTATATGCATATATGGCGTATGTAATGGTCTGAAGGACCTGGGTGTTTTGTGCCTTAAGTTGTTGTGGTTGCTGTTGTTTAATCATTTATTATGATTTAAAAATAAATATTTAATCCGTTATCTCATCGGCTATTTTCTCTATTTGAAATTGCCATAATATTTCATTCATGAATTCTAAATCACAATCAAATAGGTCAGTTATTCTAAATTTAATATTTGATAAATCTTTTGAATGAAGAATAAATGAATTCCCGGATAATTGAAACGGATATGATAAAGAAAATGTGTTTAAGTTGATGGATAAAATGTTTTGTATTGATGGGTAAGAGTTAGGGTCTAATGTTTGATGTGAAAATCTCATTGGGGTATTAACTTTATCACATTTGATTAAATGAAATTGGAACCAGTGTCAGAATACAAAACATCCCCAACATCTTTTTCAAAATTTAATATCCCAACAATGAACGAAGATGAGGAGTACAAAATTTAATTTTCAGCGGGAATTTAATAAGGTTATTTATTTCATCAAGTTCAAAAAGTTTATCGGGTTTTGATTTAAAATTTTCTTCATACCATACGATAAATGATTCATTTAAATAACTTAAAATCATGTTAATATCCATTTCGCTATCACATTATTTATATACATATCATACGTTTTTTCATGGTCATCTTTAATAAATGATATATAATCTGAATGGTCTAAAAGAATGGGATTAAATTTACCACTCACAGAAACGAGAGTAACATTATAAATTCCGCTAACTGTTAAATTTAATTCACAGCTATTATTCGAAATAATATTGATAATTGACATTTTTATTACGATTAAAAATATGGTAAAGCGTTATTTCCAGTGATAAATAAAACTAGAATAAGATTACCTCAAGAATTCATAAATTCAACGAATAAGAAATTCATTCATGTTATAAATTTTAGTGTTTTCAGAAAATACGAGTCAATGTCATATTCATCAACAGGTTATATTTCACTTCATTCAAATTTAGTTCAATCAAACCCATATAATGACCATTTCATAAGATTTTCAGATGGTATTAAAAAATGTAATTGATAGATTAAAATATGAACAGATTGACAATATCGAATTTTTGGAATTTTGGTTTAAATATCCCGATGGAAAAAAGATTGAAGTTAAAGATAAAGCTGATACTATAACAAAAACAATTACAATGACCGATCCAGATAGTGGGGAACAAAAAGAAATAAAACAAACGATAGAAACTGGTGAAAGGTCAATTATTATTGATTATGATTCAAAGGATTATTATTCGATAATGTTAATGCTTGAATATTAAATAGCCTTAACAAAGAATTTTTCAAGTGATATTTTATATTCATCAACTATTTTATTATAAATATCATTATATGTTAAATGAAGTTCAGTTGTTGTTCCGTTCTTTGATATCTTAATTGTGCTAATATCCTTTATAGATTTATTTTTGCAACTGTTCCGCAGCATGAAACCTCATCATCTATGAAAAATTGAATCTTAACGTCTGAATCTTGAACATCACAAAGAATGGCAATAATGTGAATTAATGATTCATAAGGTAAAATAATTAAACCGGATTGGTCAATTAAATTTATTATTGAATCATAATTATTAATTATTATATCACGGTAAATTTTCATTAATTCTGAATTAATGTCTATTTTAATATGGGTTCTCGATGTTTGATGAAAGAGGTGGGGGGTAATGTTGGATAAGTGGGAATTTCAACAGGTTCTTTACCAGGTTCAGATAAAATGATTGGGTCTCCATTCTCATGGTTTTCTTCATTCTCCTCATTCTTCGGTAAGTCACGAGTTAATAAATTTGGTTGAGTTGCTGACCTTGTTAATTCGGGGCTAACATTAACTTTAACATTTTGAATAATTCGTGATTTATCATCATTTACGTTATAACCAACCGTAATCTCTGCTTTTGCGTTAGTGTTCTTTTGACTAGTGAAACGTCTTCTCATTTATAATCGAATAAAAAAATATATTTAAACTTTTATTTTGCTGGAACTTTTGAATCTATTATTCCCTATATTTGTTCATGAAGTTGATTTTTACATTTTCATCGAAATTAATAGACCGAATAATATTCATTAATTGCATTCTTATAATCATCTGATTTCTCAAATTTTCTTTTATCTGATTCCTTAACTAAATCATAAGTTAAACCACGTTGCTGATATAATGGTTTCTTAATTAAATCTTTGAATGCTTGAGATATAAAGCACATGATGCAATTCTTGCTACTATAATTGGTTGGAATTGCTGTTAAGTTCATCTTTAACATTTGCGAAAACTGGATCGAATAAAGCAACTTTAAAGAATTTCTTAGCTGAAATTTCAGGTCTAATATTTGCATATTGACCATCAAACTGGTTAGAATATCGTGGTAATCCATCGGTCCCTCTTCAATAGCATTTAATTCTTCATTGAAATAAGAATATGGATTATGACGGTATGAATTAATTGGACCATTTTCACCTTCTCCAATGTATTGTTTAACAGCTTTCCATTTTCATCAAATTGCATAGGATAACGTTCATTATATACTTTACGTTTAGGATAATCAGATATAGTTAATTTATAACCATTTATGACTTTAATATTACCTTGACCATCAGTAACGAAAACTTCATTTATACCATCAGGTTTCCATTTGGACCCGTAATGTCTGCTTCGTGTGCTTCCCAATTTGGACCATGACGTTTGGCATATGCTTGAGCTTCTGGTAATGTTAAAACGTTTCTCATTTGTTTAACATCTTTTTGAAGACCAGCAACAATATGAACTAATTCTTTCATTCCATCAGGAACTTTCATAGTTCTATTATATGTACCCTTTTTGTTTGTCCCTTGTTTTAATGGAACCTGTAGAAGATTTGCTATTTCTGTCATGTTTAATTATAAATAAAAAATAAAAATTAATTATAAAAGTTAATCAAATTTAACACTTCCTTTATTTAAATCAACTATTATTTTTCCATGTTCACCTAATTGCTGATATTGTGTGTAAAGTTCATTAATGCTCAATTGGTAAATTCACTTGATAAAGCATAAGTTCAACTGTTGACGACTAAACCCACTGAAAATGAAAAGTGTTGATAGA